CAGCAAGAAAGGGGCGCAGGGTGGAGGGCTTGAAAGTGGGCACTGAGCTGATGTAGAGGAGGAGGATGGGTGTCCGGGGTAGCGGTAGGGGAGGAAGCGGTAGGATACACGCAAAGGAATTAGGAAAAGCTTGGACTCAGAGAAGGGACTGGGCATAGCAAAGACGCGGGTCTTGGCCGCTTGCAACCAGGCCATAGCAGGCCTTGGTCGACGGACTTTTCGCAAGTCAAATCAGGACGAAAAGCGTTCAGCACTTGTTCTTGATAGCGGTCGGCTCAGATTCACTGAAGTTCGATCAAAGGCACCGAGCCTGCTTGGCTCAGGTGTAAAAACTGCGTGCGCCAATGTGCGCTCATCACTAGACCAGCTGCAAAGCTGCTGGGCGCGCTCCTGAAGAGCTTTCGTGATGTCCTGTCAAGAAGCACTATGTGCGGCGGGTTGGGGCAGGATCGTCAACATCAAACCTTCGTACAGAGACTTCGAGAAGTGGCATACGTACAATCCAAGGCCAGAGCAGCATAGACACATGCGCTTTGGGGGTCCTTTTCAGCGAGTCTGCTTTTCTTGTCTATTGAGAACAAGGTCTCGTCAGAAGTTCTGGGTTCACTCGATGCGACTCGTAGCACCCGTGGGAAGGTACGGTATGTGGAGCGGCAGGCCGCGCTGTTGGAGGAGGAAGTCAATGCACGCGGCCTGGACTGAGGGTGTGCCACATCCTAGCGTCGAAGCCCACCCCCGCTGCTTGGCAAGCCCCTTATCCCTTATGGGCATGCGGCAAACCATCCAGAACTTGCTGCCTCCCGCAGCTTACCCACCCCAATGTGGTCCAGCTTGCTCAAGTCTGGCAATTTGCCGCGTCATGCGAGTTCAGAGCGATGACTCCTCAAAGCTGATCGCTGAGGCACAGTCCAACAACTCTCAGCAGCTGAATCGACTGCAAAAAATGCCACGGGCAGGGGGCTTGGCTTTTCTACCGCAGTACAAGATTTCAGAAATATCCACCGCAGAGGCGTACAACAGCACGCTGCGGGAAGTAGCGCTGAGACGACAGTTTCGAGCTCGCAGGGCGCCCGGTTGGCACCTTGATCTCAAGGTCGATGCCGATCTACCGAGGTTACCTTGCCCAGTGCGAAAAAGCCCTCACCACACTTTCAAGGACCGGCACAACGCCAAAGACAGAGCGATTCTGCACGCGCCGAGAGTTCTGCAGGATGGTGGAAGTGGAGAACAGCAGGTCTTCCGGGCTGGAGATGGAGCTTTCTTCACATGTGCCAACATGGACTGACGGATAGGCACAGTGACAGAAACAACCAGACAGCTAAACACACAACGAAACACACGCGCACACACACACACACAAACAGCCAAGAAAGCAAGCAAGCAAGCCAACGTGCAACAATAATCACCCAAACAAGCAACCGAATAAGCGAGTAAGCACACAAGCAAACTCAGAGCGAGCGAGCGAGAGAGCGAGCAAACGAACACACGAGCACGTACATACGTACGTGCATACATACATACATACATACATACATACATACACACTTTCACTTTCACTGTCTACGTGGCAGAATCAAAACTCTGCTACCGAAAGCTGGAGGGCAGGCACTCCGCCCCGGCAGAGCTGCACCCTATGTGCGTCTTCCCAACACATGACCCCGGCACGCATACTCAAAAGCAGGACCGTCAGTAATGCGTGTAAAGACAGATGTACATGTCCTGGCAAAGACCATCAATGCACTTCTCAGAGGCCTCACGCACAGGATGTCTGTTATCAGCAAAATAAGCGATCTTAGGATGAATGTGATCATACAGCAGATAGTGACCTGATGTTGGGGCTTCGCCGACGTGGAAGCCTACAGAATAAAGCTGATACAAAGCATTATGAGCCCCTTGGCGGGAAGTTTAGAAACAGTCCTTAGCAACAAAGCGCACGCATGGGCATGCACACGGGCTCGCACGCACGCAGGCACACGCCCCGACACGCACCAAAAAAGCGCGCCTCGTTGGCATTGGCAGGCGGCGTGCCTTCTTGCAACGTCTGGGCCTGACGTCTTCTGGGGCCTGCATTTGATGCCGACCGCGCATCTGTGAACAATCGAAAAGCAAAAGCCTTGAGCACAAACTCAGGATACAGCTGCTACCTGCCCACGGATTTCGTTCAGGGGCTAGGCGGCGGCTCGTATCCCGCGTATAAATCCATCCCCTAAGTCTGCCTGAGTCCCCCTTTGTCGAGGAACCCTGGCACCGCTGGCGACTCTTGAGGCGGGTGTCTTTGCCAGCTTGGGCTGGCAAGGGCCGTTTAGGGTTTAGCCTCCGAGGTTCCGGACTTTGACTCCCAGCTGCCAGAAATTGACGTGGCCTCGGTGGAGGCTCCGGGAAGCGCGCGAGCACAAGCCGGGGACGTCCCCGGCACTGCGAGCTGCGAGTCGTCTCTGGCCAGGGGCAGTCTGGCCAAGCCCTGGAGGCTTCAGGTGCTGCTAGAAATTCATCGATAATCGCGGCATAGGCCAGAGCTACTGCACACACTCTTTTCCCAGTGTGGTGAGGACCGCCGGCGGCTGCTTCTGCCTCCTCTTCGCCGGGGGCCCCTCTTTTCGAAACTCGTTCGGCTCACCTGGACCTCTACAAGCTTTCGAGGTTGTCCGTCAACGCGTCAAGCGGTCAGCCACCCAGTGAAGAGGCAGGAGCAGAAGGCTGAAACGCGAAGTGAATGCAGGGGCCGTGGGCACCACGTCCGAGCCTCCTGCGGAATCCAAAGCGGTGGCCAAAGATCCCCCGGAGACGGAGGAAGCTGCCAGCACCAAGGAGACTGGGACAGCAGCCAGAATTCCAGCTCGATATGAGAAGCGAAGGAGGATGATGCGGCGGCCAGCTCACAGAGCAGAATCGCAGAGCTTGAGGCAGGCGTTTTCAAGGCTACCAGTATGTTCCTTCAAAACTTGTTGCGGACATGAAGATGCCCTCAAAGTGTCAGGGTTTGTGTGAGAGAGAGAGATAGAGAGAGATCCTCATCTCGTAGCAGGGTTTCAGACAGACCTTGACGACCAGTGCGCATGCGCGCGCGGGGGGGCTTGCCCCCTTTGGCTGTGCAGAAGAAGAGAGAGAGAGAGAGAGAGAGAGAGAACGAAAGAAAGAAAGAAAGAAAGATTTTCAGGGATTTTTCTTGGGATAGCCTGATTTGCCATTGGATCTGGGTCTGAGGAATGATGGCAGGGGCTAGAACCCTTGCATTCTCCTTTAGCATCATGTCATGAATTTCAAGTAAGTCGGCTAGCTTTCCCGCATTTTACAGTCAATCACATGCTCGGTTTTCGCGCTGCCGAATGCCGCTATAGGAAGGCCCCATTCTGATGCAGCGAATGTTGCTGTTTGTGTGATTTCCTCATGTGATTGGGAAGCATGTGTGCGCCTTGAACTGACTCTCGCAACAAAAAACCCCGTGTCCGTGAACTCCTCCTTTGATTAGTTTGGCAGTTCCTCGCTCCGCCGAAGCTTCGCTCCGCCGTGAGCGGCAGAGCGCAGCTGATCGACATCCGGATGACACGTCCTCCGCTACCAGTAGTGCCACAAGCATGTTTTGCGCCTTCCGGCGCCTGCACATGCTTCATCACAAAGCTCACGGTATTTGTCCCGCGCTTCGGAGTGTGCAATTACTTCCAAGATCAGAGATGCGTTCGAAATTCGCCTGCAGCGTCGATCATGTTGTCGAACACTGTTGTTGGATGAACATCAAGTATGTTTGCAGAAAAGTAAACGAACGTGGGTATGCAGACGCACGCTCCCGGCACAACAGCGGAATCATGGAATGTCTCTTCCTTTCTCAGCAAAGGGGGGCATTGAGATTTTGATTGTTTGTGAATTCATGTATCTATCATCGTTGTACACTGTTACATCCTGTAATCGTCTATCACAGCGATTGACATCATAACTGGTCAAGCCAAAACTCCATGGCAACTTTGCAGTCTTGAAATTGCTCTTTCGGAATGCAGGGTTTTTCTTCAACCGGCATCCAATCTGGCAGGAACACATTGTACATGCGGAGAAGGCATCACATGCAACGGGTGTTCCAGTGGCGGTTGCCCTCCGACGCGTCGTTGGCACACCCGAAGGGCTACGGTTTCTTTGGTTGTGGTGAAGTGTCAACTGAAATTGGTCTCGTATCTTCAAGACTTGCAGCTTGAAGAGCCAAAGCCTCCTTGCAGGCATGCAACAAGGCTTTGCAAGAGCAGCTCGCAAGCTTGCAGCAGGACTAGCTTACCGTTCTGCGTTTGTGCGTCAGCGATTCTGTGTTGGCGGTGATGTTGCTGCACTACCCAGTCAAGATGTTGCCTGTCAGGAGCAAGCCACAAGGGCAGCACCTGAAGCAGAGAATTTTCAAACGTAGTTTAGACCCCCCGAGGTCTCCTCTCTCTGCTTCAACAGCTGCTTGGAAAGCTAGATCCAAGAACCCGTGTGCTGCTAAGCGTTCACTTCCTTGTTGTTGTTTACACTCAAGCTCTTGAAGTGGGAGGTTGCAGTCAAGACATCCAGCCGAGTTTCAATGTTCTTGGCAGGGGATTTGTAGCCAGGGCTGCATGTGTACAGTAGCAGCGCAGCTACTCTACCTCGGGCGCGCACGCGAAGCTGCTAGAGGCATCTAGAGGCCATTTTGAGTCTTCGAAGAGTCCCAAGAAAAGGGCACCGCTGCAGATGGTCCAGGCCATTCCTAGGCCAGGTCTTTTGAAGTCCCGTGAGTCCATCTTCCCACTTTGGCCTGGGACGAAAGGGACAAGCCTTTGAAAAAGGGAGAAGCCTCTGCGAAAGACTGTGCGATGCCCACAGCGGCAGGGTCGTTCGAAGCACGTCAACCCTGCATAGGGAAGGCTTAAGTTTAGGGCATTTCGGGCAGAAGACGAATGACACGATGCCACTCGCGAGCTTCACAAAGGACATGCTGAAGCTTAGAGACACTTGTCGCAGAAGGGTGGCTGCAAGTGTTAGATTGCCCTTCACCAGCCATGATGATGCAGGCCATCAGAGACCCTTTCTTGGTTGTGATCCGCCACGGAGCACAAAAATACCTAAAAGCTTTTGCATGGGAAGGTTCATTCACTGCAACTGCAGTGACCTGCAGGCGTTCCGGCGGCTGCGTGGAGAGGGCAGCTTGGAGGCCGCGGCACGCCGCAAGAGAGGGGCGGGCGGCGGGGGCCGAGCCGCAAGCGCCGCAGGCGGACCTCCGCCAGATCTCGGAAGGTCGCTGCCCGAGCGAGTCCGCGCCCGCGGCGTTGGCCGCGGCGCGGTGCTCCTCTTGGAAGCTGAGCAGCTGAGGCTCCGTCGCGGCGTCCCCACCCAAGGAGGTTTTCGCCAGAGTCATGCAGGCCGCACAGAGACCCGACAGATCCGCGTTCGCGACTGCAGCACGGGGATCCCAGTGGCCGTGAAGGCATCAGAATACGCAGAGGAGCGGAAGCGAATCGTTCTCCACATGCAGGCGGAGCGGCGGAGGGGATGGACAAACTTGAGCATTCCAAGAGGGTCCTGTGCAGGCTTGCTTGGCAGACACGCGCTGGCGCCCAATCCTCTCAGGCCGCCAGAAGAGCGAGAGAGAGAACGAACAAGCCCGAAAAGAAGAAAGTAGAAGAAAACAAGAGCCAGACGACCTCGTGCCAGAGTACTTTGTGCAGCAGCAGGCTCGACATGGAAGGAAGGAGGGGTAGGGGTGGGGTAGCGGTAGGGCGTGTGCAGGGCAGCCACCCAAGCAACAGTGAAGAGGGCATGATTCGACCCACGTATTCTATCATCCTGTTGGGATGACGGCGGTACCACGCGAGTTCCCTAGTGCGGCGATTACTGCAGTGGAATGCCGCCGGACGACCCGAACGAAAGGTCGGAGAGACACTGCGAGGCGTCAGAAAAAAATGGGAGACCTGAGAGCTTGCAAGCCGCAACGACACGAAGCGGAAGATCAGGACTGTCGCTGCTCTCGGAATTATTGCAACGTGGATGCCACCGGCTTTTTGCACGGCTCTCAGCTTGCGGCTCGTAACGGCTCGTGGGAGCCCGCATGAGCCAAGAGAGCCAGAGCCGCAGTCAAGGAGGAGATGGCTCAGGGCTTCCACTTCGACCCACTTCAACGCCCGGGGGCTAAGCAGGGGCCGAGAGGGGGGCCCTGGCCCTGGCCTTCGCTGCCGTCGCCACCGTCGCTGCCGAGGTCTGAGCCTCCTGGAGCGCTTCCAGTGCCGCAGCCCGCGCTTTCCCGCGCTGCTCCCGCGCTGTCGCGCTGCGCTCCCGAAAGGTACGGCGAGGACCCGCGCGTGCAGACGCTCATTCGGCAGAAGGCCCGGCCGGACGACCGCTCCGCAGGGGACGGGGCCGCAGGGGACGTGCCTCTCCGTGCTCGTACGACGATGTCATCTGAAGCGTGCTGAGCGCACTCGTCGCTCGAGGGGGGCGGATAATGCAGTCGCCGGAGTTTCGCAGCTCGCGTAAATCCAGAAGTCAATCCAGCTTTGTGACTTGCCAAGAGCCCTTGATCCCATCGAGCTGCTACGTGAGGCGTTGACAAGCCAACTCCACTGCAGTAGACGATCCCACTTGGGTACTGGATATCCGGCAAGAACTTCTCCTTGCCCCACCCCCATCGCACTCAACTGTATCGATGCCCCCAATGTCGTAGACTACACAGGCTCACCACTTTCTTCTTATTGCCAGTGAACAAGAGCGAGATCAGATAGCGCTTGTGTCTCTTCTCCACCCAAACCTCGAGTTCCAAGAGCCAGGAAACCGATAGAAACCGTGCAAGCCGAGCAAACTCCACTGTTTCGACCATGGTCTTCGGAAGGAGGGAACGCGATACATGAAAATACACTCAGATTCCACCTAGATGCGCTTTTTGCACCTTTCGGGGACATGTTGAGATCGACCGTGACAGTCGTGCAGTGGATGCGCTGTTTGATGGCATATGGGCCTGCTCAGCGTCCACAGCCTTTACCAGGCCTCCAAGTTGCGCGAAGCTCTACTTGAGAAATTGGCCTCCAGCTGGGAACTGGGGCTGCAGAGACGTGTGACTCTGGGGATCTCCCCTAGTCGCCAAGGTACAGACACACCAGTGGAGGAGTTGAAAGGATTCTCAAATGCCGATGTCTTGGTGCCGACACAGCGAAGGCGAGCCAAACCCGGAAGCCCAAGCACCCAGGGTGCAGTGCAGTTGCAGTGCAGTTGCAGTGCAGGCAAGGGCCGATCAATGGTGTCGCAGTCGCGATCCCAGAGAGTGCCACTTGCCAAGAGTATGTATTTGATGAACGTGCCTGCAGTTGATCGGGCACACTGCCGATACCGACGACGAGACCAGCGATGGTGAGACCGGAGCTTAGAAAGAAGCGTCGAGTTCTCAGGGCAGCCTGTTCTGCTCAGGTTCTCGCCCGGCCTGCAGCATGCGGCCTCGACGGTGACTGGGATTTCTCGGAAGCCTTGGGGCACGAGAGCACTTGAACTTGAGCCGAAACAACGTGGAGGTTTCGACCGACTCCTCTGGCGAAGCCGGAGACCTCCTGCAGCTCGAAGGCCGGAGGTTCGGGGACCCTGATTCGCGGCTGGGCTTTAAAGGGAGGAGGTTAGGCTGGCATCCCTCCCCCTGGACTGACGTAGTCGGAACAGGTGATGCTGACGTGGCCTCAGCCGATCTGTTGCAGACTAGGACCTTAGGACCGTCAGCAGAGACACCACCCCGAGGTCAAAACTGTGGGTCCGGGGAACACCGATCTGGTGGTGGACCTGCTAGACCTTGCGTAAACGGAAGAAGGGGGCAGGCTGTTACAGGCACGTCTTGCTTTTTGAAGATAGCAGAAGTTTCCATCTTCAGGCATCTGGGACAACAGTAGGCCACAGGGGACTCAAGTCTTCCGACTCTCCGCCTCGATGGCTCAACTGTACAGAAGAGCTTTGGGGGACAAGCCAAAGGTCATGCATAGATCCAACGGCGAGTCGCAAGTTGCAACTCGCAATCGCAATTGGCTCGACAACGCTTCTTGGGCGACAGTCAAAAGCGCAGATGTAGTGTAGCGACTTAATATCTGATGTGAAGTCCTTCATCTGCACAGACAGGAGGAGGATTTCTAGGTGCCTTCGAAGTTATCACGGCTCAAGTCCAAAGTTCAGGCACAACCGTTGACGCACAACCGCAGCAAAGAGACTGCGGTCGGGGTACACATCACCAGATATCCGACTCAACCCGACAGCTCACGACGGGAGTCCAGCGTTAGTTCCGCACCGGTTTCCATGGACCGTCACGAGTATGAGGAAGCTCACCTCTCAGACTCCCAGACTGTGTGCGGAACCATGCGGCGAACTGATGCTGCAAGCCTTCAAGCAAAGTGCACAAAGGTCATCGCCAACCAGCCCGTTGTGATCGTGGCCCTTGCCCGTTCTGGGTTGGCTTTTCCAGCGTGCGTTCCCGCACGATGCCAGGACAATGGCTCTGGGGTCATCAAGGTGCACTGGAACCTGTCGAAACTTGACTGCCACCATGAACTACGCACAGGCGGGGTTTGCCGGAGATGACTCCGCATCTTGTCGGCAAACGAACTTGGCGGCAGGCTTCCTCACCCTGCATCACAGTGTCAAGCCTTGCCAACACAAGGTCAAGCTGCTACATCCTTCCTTTGTTGGCAGGTGGCACCGTGCAAGCACATGTAAGTGTCTGGAATTGGCAGTACTTTGCAGTACTCGCTGCTGCCGCCAGGCCAAAGCATCAGCGAGTGATGGCTGGTGCCGCCGAGGGTGATAACGGAGACATATTTGTTGGCATCGGCCCGAGACGGGGCATCAACAAACCGAAGCGAATGTGCACAGATCATAACAAAATTCACGCTCCACGCCCGCAGGTGAGCGTGCGGAAAAATTCCGTGGCATTCTGTCTCTCAAGTATCCCATGGAGCATGGCATCGTGCTGATCTAAGCTGTGCTTGTGTTCTCGGCATTTCTTCCACGTGCACATTGGATGGCATATCTTGAATCTTGAGTGAGGAGGGAGTGCAAGAGACAGTCAGTGAGTTCCTGCTTTCACGTCCGTCTAGCCAAGCTCCACAAGTCGTGTAATCGGGAGATGGAATCCATGTACAAGAGCATGTTATCATTCCCATGTGGCCCTCGGGTCAGACTCTCGGCATACCCCTGGCAAGGCCTCGAAAACCAGACTCTGAGTTTGGGCGATCTGCAAATCAGGGTCATACGTGCCGAATCTGTGTGTTGATTTTTCCCGCAGTACCTACTTTGCCAGAGCGCAGCACAGGGTCCCAAAGAGTGTGGCACCGCCGCCTGCTCACCTGGTTTTCTTTTTCAGGCTTTGAGGTTTGGAATTGTTTGAGGTCTGTGCCCCTGCTGTAGATCTTTTCAAGCTAGTCACCGTCGGAATATTGTTCAACACACCCTTGCCGCAGCGGGCAACAGAGCACGCAGTTATGCTGTACTTGCATGGGCCACAGAAGGCTACTCGGGTCTACGGATCTCTTGGTAGGGGCGTTGTCTTGAAACTCAATTCCCGAGACAAGCGCAGCTTGATATCGGGATCCGTTTGACTGCTCCTGCCAGACCGTGCGAGTCCGCTTGAAATGCGGCAGCTGTTATGGCTTTGTGTCCACACTGTTTGGTGATTGGATGCTTACGCCTACGCCAGCAGAGTGCGCTGTTGAGCCGTTCAAAGATGAAGGGGTGGGGTTTGGACAATTGAGGGAGAGCTATCAGTCCATTGCTCCCCTTACTCAGGTGCAGCACTGGGATGACATGGAACTCATTTGGCGCCATGTTTACTCCGAGATGAAAGCCTGGTTCTCAGTGACATCCAGCTGGCTTTGCTTGGCAGACTCGCGGAATCAGGTGAATGCTGAGGAGCATCCAGTTCTCCTCACCGAGGTTGGCTTGGTGTCATTAACAGACAGGCAACCGCTCGTGCTTCTCAAAAGAAGATTGCGCACCACATCTAGAGCAGACGTGTAATTTGCTGTTATCATGCTTGTACTGATCATCACCAAAACAACCACCATCATCTCCACCATGTCCTGATGCATTATGATATCATTATGGTGCAAGAAGGCAAATCAGCCAAACAGCGCTGTGAATAAGAGTGTCTTGGGCATACCCGCACAAGGCATAAACGCTTGTGACAGTGCATCTGGTTGCAGAAACATCCTTCTGCAACATGATTAAGAACGGAAAACTACATACAAGGCATGAACGCTTGTGACTGTGTTGTTGTTCCAGACACGCCAAGCATCCTTCTGCTGTATGTTGTAAACGGTTGCAAGCATGCTATACTAAACCAATATAAATCTCATCCAATCATCCCAAACGTCCAGGATTTTCATTGAAAGCCGGCAACTTAACACGGCACAGCTACCTACGCACCCGCCGGCTTCAAATGCATCCATGTAGCTGTGTTCGAAGCTTCGAAAACCCCGAAGCTGCCGGTATTTTCACTACTTCTGTACTACAACGCAATGCACGAGAACATTCTACCTGTCGGACTATCCTTGTCTAAACACGATATCGCATCTGAACTTGTGCATGAGCCTAGAGGAGTGCCAGGAGCCATCATCGGGATCGCAGTTGGAGCTCTCATTCGACCCTGTTCGCCCAATAATTTCTGTAGTTGACATTCCATCTACATGCCCAGCATTTGACCATCTTGCCATAACACCGAGAACCAGCGGCACATCATATCGGAAACATGGAACAGGCCCCGCTCAATCCGCGGAAGAACCGTGAGAAAGTCGGTCACCAAGGCTTATGTTTCAAGCTGCTAAGTTGGTGTCATGACATGCCCGAGCGAAATAGTAAAACAATCATGGGTTGGGGAGCTTGAGTTTGGTGGCTTTGAGCATAGATGGAGATACACGCTACGCGTTCTCTGAGGCAGCGGAGATCTTTTTCGAGACCTTCGGTTGTCCAGCGCTCTTCGTCTCTGCACAGGCATGTGGCGAGCGTAGCAGCCGCATTGCCTTCCCAAGCTCGCGGCACATGCACACCTCGAGAATCACAGCCAGGTATCTTCTGCATACGACTGCTCAGCTGTGGATATCGGACGACAACTGTCTCGTGTAGGAAGGTAACAAATGAGCGACCGGTAGTATCCCACGACCCAAGATCTCGCAGCGCGGGCAATGCCTCGTTGGCTGAACATCTCAGCAGCCTAAAACAAAGACAAGCATTCCAAGTTCAGAGTGCGCAGAGGGGCAGAGAGAGGCCATTCTTTCTCTGTATGCGAGTGGAAGAACGACCGGGGCCAGCAACTTAGATTGGCAACCGGAGGCGCTCCGGTTGTGCAGAGTCACAACAGTCTCAGGTGGTCCTGGACTCCGGCGATGGCGTGACGCATGCCGTCCCTGTCTATGAAGGATTTGCCCTGCCACATGCGGCAGGGCCCCTACCGGGCACTGAGTGGACCTGTCTGCCTCTCCAAAAGTTGATCTTGAGCAGGTGATGAGGTCCGATGTCGCAGGCCGTGACGTGCGAAGCACAGGAAACTTTCTCCCACGATGGCTGTCACACTCAGTGTTGCAAGGTCACTGATCACTTGCTGCTCCAGTTGCGCCGCACTGGGCATGCCCGCTCCTCAGCCAAAACGTGCATGCTGCAAGTCCCTCGCGACTCGCTCCCTCCTTCTGCTCGCTCGCGGAGCGTAGCTTAGGTTTTTCACACATCGGCGGAAAGGGAAGTGGTCCGTCAAATCAAGGAGAAGGCACAGTGCGAAGAGAAGCCGACGCCATCTCTAGAAGGCAGAGCCGCACACGCACACAGGAGTGCTATGTTGCACTGAATCCGCAGAAAGAGGAGCAAGCTCCGGGCCCTTTGACAGAGGCTGAAATTGGTAGACCAAGACCTGTCTGCTGAGGGAGAGCACGACAAGGCCTCCATGCAGCACCAATACAAGCTGCCTGGATCCCCGGAAAGAGAGGAAGGGAGGAAGAAAAGAAAGAAAGAGAGAGCAGGGAACCTATCAGACCTTCTGAGACCAGTGCGCGTGCGCGCGCAGGGGGAGTGGGGTTCGTCCTGCTTCCCTTCGGCTGTGTAGAAGAAGAGCAAGGAGAGGAGAGAGAAAGAAGAGAGCGAGAGCGGCTGCGATGCCCGGCGCGTTGCCTTGCTCGCCTCTCAGGCCGGATGGCTCCGTGATCAACCTCGGTGCAGAGAGGCATACCGTCCACCCGCTACCAGTACTTCCACTTTTGCTCCTTTCTTTGAAGAGCATCTGGTTGGGACCCTCGCCCTCGCTTGTGCAGGTTTCGAGCGCCCGAGATCTTGTTTCATCCCGACCTGATTGGCCTGGAATATCCAGGCTCGTTAGGGGGAGACCTCTGGGAGTTTTGCTGGCGCTTCGCCAGCGAGAGGCATCCACGAATTGCTCGCCACCTCCATCAACAGAGCCGACCTCGACTTGCGGATGACGCTCTTCTCCCAGGCATCCCGCCGCCTCTCAGGCTCTCAGGCCGTCTGAGGCCGTTGCTGGCTTGTAAGGCTGACACCAACAGCGCCTGGCTTGAGCCCGCACACTTCGGCACTGTCAGGATACGACGGCAGGGGACGTGCATGCAACACTCTGGGTCAGGTCGCTGAGCGTGAGAAGCACGCAGGGTGCGCATTTTCGACGACAATCGCGTTCTCGAAACAGTCCCTCTCGCATACGGACACCGGCGTTCTCGTGCTTGCCAATCGCGATTACCCGAATCTCGTGTTCATTCAGCATGTTTTGGCCTCTGCCAAAATGCCATGCCCTTTCCGCGGAAGTATGCGGCACTCTGTGGAGCCAGTATAGGTTGCGAGCGTAGACGCTGTGTCGCTAGGCCACAGTTTGTGAGCACACTGCACCGGTGCACCGGTCTTTTCTAGAATGTGCCGAGAGAGCTGCTTGAAGATTGCACGGCGAAGCCGATTCACGGAAGCTTCAGCTTCCGGCTCTCCGGACTGGGCGGGGCCCAGCCAAGCCAAGAAGGATGAGAGCAAGGAAAGCCACGGGGAGACGGAGATGAGGAGGGTCTCACTCTCAGCATTGACGGTCTTCGCCCTCAACCCGAAAGCCCAAGCTTGAGATGCTCAGGGCCAGGGCTCTTCCCCAACAGAAAACGGCTACGTGCAAACAATGTGCGTGTACTTGCGTTGTCGGTGCTTCGCAAGCCCTTCTGCGCGCAGATCGTCCTATCGGGGGGATCCACAATGTTCGAGAAGTTCGGTGACAGGTCCAGTGCTGATTGCGGCATGAATGGCATGAACCTGTGAAGTGAGCGCAACCTTGGGTTCTTGGATTCTGAGGCTTTTAAGCGAGGTGAAGAAACTTGCGCCGAAGGACTCAACGGCGTTACATTCGTGGCTGCGTGCACACCTTTGCCGTGGCTACATGATGTCTCAGGACATCAAAATAAGAATTATTGCGCCACCAGAGCGAAAGCTCTCGACGTGGATAGGCCGGCTGTGATTTTTCCGAAGTTGTAGTTGCGTAGCACTACTGGGTGATTCGCGAAGTCAGGTGGTTCAATCCTGGCATCCCTAGCAACATTCAAGAAGCCTGGAACTCAGTGCCACTCTTGCAAAGTAGCAGAGTACAGATGATCGACGGCCTCTCGGAAGGATGTGGGTTACAAAAGAAGAGTTCGAAGAAGATGGGTACTCCATTCTGCCAGGGCCTCGACCCTCCTTTGACAGCTCCCTACCAGCTGCGCTGCTCAGGCATAAGAAAGCTTTCTGATGGCCCGCCGATGCTGAACTTTTTATGACATCCAGAGCAGAACCCAGGGTATGCTGCGATATTGGAAGGTACCGTTCAGCATGCAGAGCCCCGCAAGTGCACAAAGTGGCAATTGCTGCAAATGTATCAGCCGTCGCCTCCGGTGAAAGCCGTCAGCACCACAGAGTGCGAGGCTGCCTTCAACAGAGGTTTGGCTCCATTGCTTTGTCAGTTGCAGAGTGCAACAGACATGTACGACGTGGGTTCAGAAGAGGTTGGAGGACAAAGAATCTAACTCATGTCTGCTTTTGCGCAGTGCCTTCACAGATGTCACTGTGCATATCACATCAGGATTCCATACCCTTGATGCAAGCGCCTTGACCTTGCTCTCAAAGCTCCATGTTGAAATCCTGGAAGATCAATCAAAAAACTGGCTCGCTGGTCACCCTAGTCACCAACTGACGTGCTAGTCGCTTTGTCAGTAGGCCGGCTGCTTCTGTTCAAGCGATGCCGCAGTCAAGGCTAGGTCTTGATCTGGCCTGGTGAGCACATGTTGGCGTCTGCTTCCCGTGGCCTGGCGGGAAGAATGCTCTCTGAGCTAGCTAGGACCCCTCGTGCTCACTGAGGTTCCTTGGTGGTCCTGGAGTGCGATGGCTCCGATGGATCGAGCAGCCCACAGGTCGGCGACGAGCCCACGGGGCCCATTGTCCACTCAGAGCTGGCCTTCGGGGGGGGCGTCGCCAAGAGCTTGGCTTGGGACACCGTCGGAAAGCGCGTCGTGGTGGCCCTGGCCGCGGCGGGCGCGGCGGCGGGCGCGGGCACGGAGCCTCAAGCTGACCGGCTCTGTCTCTGCGAGACCCTAGGAGCGCTTTAAAAAAACCGCCGTTCCGTTCCTGAGTTCAGTAGCGAGCTGCAGACACACGGCTTCGCTGGAGAGGAGACGAGTCGCTGGTGGAGTACGTCTCCCTCCCTGCAGGGGCAGATGCGACCGGCTTGAGCTTTTACGCAGAGGAGAAGCGGAAGGCTTGGGTGGCCGTGTCCTGCACGGATGGGGCCGTGCGGCTCATTGATGCCAGCCCAGAAAGGACACCCGTGGCTGAGAGATGCGCCAAAGTCAGAAGAACGATTCGAACGCTTCGAAGGGGTGTATGTGTGTATGTGTGTGTGTGTGTGTGTGTGTGTGTGTGTGTGCGTGCATTTTTGCTTCTCTCTCTCTAAGAGCGCGTCTCCTTGGTCTTCGTCCTCTGTCTGTTCTGTCTCTTCCTCCAAAAAAGAAGACACGGTGGGAGGACGGCCTCGGTGGTGCGGAGCTGCTACGTCCACGGCGTCCCGGCGACGGCCGTCGCCATCTCCTCGTACTCGCCGGGCGCTTCGAGCGGGCCGCAGGTGGCCTCGGGGAGCTCCAGCGGCCACGTGGTCTTGCAGCCCTTCCACGGCACTTCGGGCACCGGCCCGACCCCCTTGCCAGGCGCTTTTGGCCGCACTTAGCGAGCAGAGCAGAGCAGAGGGCAAGAGCGAGTGTCTTCTCTCTTTGCGTGAGTCTCCGCGCTCGCAGCTGCTGAGGCCTCCTGGACACCGAGTCCCCGATCGAGAGTCTCTGCTACTCTTCGCTGCGACAGGCCCCGTGGAGCGGCCACTTTTGCTCGGCTCTGTTGCCATTTCGGGAAGCGAGGAGAAAAGCCTTCAGAATCCTTTGTCAAAGTTCAAGTTGGTTTCCGACGGAACGCGGTCCCCGAACCTTCAGGGGCCGGAGAGCAGGCCGCCTGCCAGTCAAAGCTTCGGCATTAAGCACGTGGCTTCTTGACTCTTCCAGTCCTGTGTCCAGCTCGACGCAGCGGCATGTCAACTGAGGACTTACGTACTGCCATCGAGATGAATCGATGGCAGTACGTCGTCCTTGAAGGTCCCACATGCATTTGGAAGTTGGATGCTTTTCCGTCGTCCGAGGTCCCACCCGCCCACTCCCACAGCCGCTCCGCTTGTTCTCGCCTCAGAGTTGGGGGCGCCCGGCTTGAACCTTGGGCAAGCGAGGAGCTCCTGGCAGCGAGCGACAGCCGCGGGAGCTTGCAGATCTGGGATGCGACGGCGCTGCGACACGTCTGCCGCTTCGCCGGCGCGCACCGAGGACCTGTGCCGACGGCCCGGAGAGGAGTCGAAGAGCAGTAATAGACGAGCATCGGAATTCCGCTCCCGGCGCGCCGAGGCGAGGTTTGTCTTTTTCGACGCAGAACAGCGACCTTCTCATCTCCGGTGGCCAAGATGCCGGGTTAGTCTTCTGGGACGTGAGGCCGCTCGACGCGTAAGCTCTGGACTTGAGAGGCATGGGCAAAGCAATCGCGTACGTCCGCTCGGATGGTCTGAGGAATTCGCGGCAAATTCAAGAAGATGCTCGGCAGAGTAAGGTCAGGACATGCCTGAGGCTTGGTCAGAATTGCTCCAGGTCTCCGTCGAAGCTGGCATCACTTCTTTGTCTTACCATTCAGGCTGGCTGTCTTAGCCTTGCACGAGCATGGCAATTCCCGCGGGGACGCCAGGCGGCTACTTACTGGCCACGGGCACCTGCGACGGCGCCATCCTGATCTTCGACCTGCGCAGCCTGGCTTCTGACTACGATGTCTCGATGTCTCTTCGAGAATCTTGAGACAGACTGCACAGTTGCCGCTTAGCAGAGGTATGCTTGCTGACGGCTCAGAACTTGCCAATGCGCCTTACAGCGACGGGAGCATGGAAGAACGCATCTCAGGTGTCCAAGAAGCAACCTGCGGACCCTGTCCAGCGTTACGAGAGCCAGGACAAAGGAGCCCGTTAGAGAGCACAGCGAATTCAAGCGACGAGGAGCTGCAATGTACTGAAACTAAGACTGAGCTGACGGAGTATGGCATTCTCCCTGGCGTAGCGGTGCAGGTAAGGCTTGCACAGGCAATCTGATGCAAGACGTGAATGACAAAGACAAGTTTATGCAACCAGCAGGGTCGACAAGATTGGTGCAATTGAATGAAAAAAAGCTCGGCTCCGTTGTAAGCGGAGAACTCCAGGAGCCTTGGTTGCCTTGGCCTTTGCTCCCGACTCCCACTCAGAGGGCTCGGCGACCCTGCGCCCAAAGGCAGGGAGTCGGAAGGAGGCTTGAAATCCCAAACCCTACTCGTACGTATTGCGATCAAGACCACCAGCCCAGCCCATTTTAACGACGAGCGGGCAAAAGCTCCTTTGTCCTTTTTTTTGTTCGAGGTGATCACTTCGACAGCGGCCATCTCAGGCAAGAGAGAGAGAGAGAGATCGCCGGGCCGGGGGCGTTTTGTTTCGTTTTCGGCCCCGCGGCCCCGCGGCCCCGCGGCCCTGCGGCCCTGCGGCCTTGGCGAGGTTCTCGGACGGCCCCGAGAGCTTCTGCCGTCTCTTCCCAAGCTTGGAAGAGTGGCCGCTCCCTGAGACCGATGCAAATCTGAGGACGAGTTTCACGAGGACAATGTAGCCCAAAGCTTCGCCTCCATCGATTCGCTCATGGACAGGTGGGACCGTGCCTCTGTGCCCCATGCCATGCATTCTCCTGCCTGCAAGGCTTTCCAAGCGGGCTACCGTCGGCAGCTTAATTACTTCTGCTTGGCATCGTTCTCCTGCGTGCTTTTCGCTAGCACTCCGCCTATCTCAAGTCTCAAACCAGCGCTTCTCGGCCCAGGCCAAGCCAGACGCGGAAAGGACAGCGCTGACATTCTACTGCCGTCTCTGCGCTGGGACAAAGCTCCGACCTGCAGGGCTGGCGGAGACCTCTCGGCCAGTCGGAGGCGAACTGTCCAAGTTGCTCGGTTGGGCAACCGAGTCAGCCTTTTTCAAAGCGTGCCAGAACATCGAGCACCGTGCCGGGCGCGACTGTTCAAGTTGCTGGGGCCTCAGGTAAATGAGTTCATACACAAACATACATTACAGAAACATATATACATATGTATGGCTGAGCTTGGGAAAGCACTTCTCTCAAGTAGGATGTGACTCCACTTGACGTGTCAGAATCGTCGGACCAAGCTGCACAAGCCAAGCACCTGGCTCTCCAACGGCGCGTCGGGTCGGATGCAACTCAGGCGAATCTGGGAGTTCAGTCCGATGCTGCCATTTAGGCGAGCATCTGACGATGGAGATGTCTCCTCTCGGCACTCACACCAAGAGCATCAGCCTTCGAACTACGGCCAACTTGATCCCCGAATTCGCCCCCGCCTTCATGCCCAGTGGACAGGGCACGTGAAGAGATTTGTGCATGGCCCGGCTTGTTGAGCAAACGCCACGACGACACCGACACACCAACCGCACCAGAGCCAAGCCGGGGGCTCAAGCCAAGTGTCGCCATGCTCACGCCCAACACTGGTCATGCGATCATCTTCACAGGAAAGGCCCCTTCTTTAGGAGGAGAACGTTGATCGCGAAGAAGCACCAGATACATTTCAGCTGTGGATGCAGAAGAGCATGACCTCTGCACAAGGAAGCCAAGGGGGTCGTTCCTCCGTTGCTCAGCACTGGCGGTTCCAGGCCTGGGAGTGGGCAAACTTCGCTCTGCCACAAACCCAGCGCGACAGGAACTCGAGCGGCAGCGTATCGAAAGAGGTGCTGGCAGCATCCCTGGACGTTGAAGATGAGACTTGAACAGTGTTAAGACTTGAGGAGACACCCATCGAGAGCCGAAGAAGCTCCCAGCAGGCCACGAGACCACTGCTTTTTGGGCGTCACCGCTTTCTTGGATTGACAAGAGGTGTCCCGGTATAGCATCGGCAGTCCCGGAGAAGATGCCGCCGCGGCAGTGCCCACAGAAGCGCGCATGCGCGCATGCCGCTCTCTTCCCCAGAATTACCGAGGCTCCAAGCCCATGGTGGAAGGGCGCGGAGGCTAGAGCTGGGAACAGCCATGGCTACTGGCCTACTGGGTGAATTGCCACGTGTTTGCTACGTTTCTCGGAGCTCCAGGTATGCCGCACCGGGGCCGTTCAAGGGCTTCTGGCAGTTGCTTCCCAGCGTTCCTGTAACAGGAGGCAAAGACAACTCCGACACGCACCATTCCACAGGTGCCAGCGTTGCAGTGCATGCGTGATGTTGCAAGAGGGAGTTGTGAGTAGTCTTCTTCGCGAGAGGGGGATGAGCTTGATAGGCACTCTCAGCATCCTCACCATCTCCAGCAGCACTGGCGGAGGCTGACATCATTTTAAAGCCATGCTTCCCATCATCATGCAGCCACTCTCGGACTAGGTGACTAGATCTCTTGAGCGCTAGAAGGACATGCAGCAATGCAGGCCCTGAGGCCACTGTTGGCGGAGCTCAAGAAGGACTTCAGCCGACAAGTCCAGGAGGCGCGCGAGCAGTCGCACTGCTTCCTCTTCCCCTGTCCGCTTGCCGCCTTGGTGTTTTCTTCTGAGCTCCGGCAAAAGGTGCGTGTGCAGGCTTTCCTTTTTAAATTGACCTTAAGACACGAGTGCCTGGAAAAGACGATTATTTGGGATCTGACGCGCAACTTGAAGTACGAGGTGCCAAAACTATGTGTGGAGCAAGTTGTGTGCAGTATCTTCCGTTTAAGGGTTAAACCGGAACATCGAGTTCGCCCAGATCTGTCCATGATCCTGCAAAGGCTCGCAACACCCCTGCAGTCATCATTGATGAATCTAAGGGTATCGGATAGAGGTTCGGCGAGCTCCTTGTGAATCCAGATGAGTGCTCGGCATTCAACGGAGAGGCCATTCTTCGCTTTGCTGGCCCGCACGGTCTTCGAATTGGGGAAAGTGATGTACACAATGATGCACTCGCAAGCCGAACACATCCAAGTAGTGCAAGTGTTTTTCGTCGGCTCCGTCAACTCGTGTCTCTCACGCCACGCCAGAAGTCTTGAAACCCTGTTCCAGCAGCAATCCATTGCAATCGCAGATGTCCAGGTGAAGGCAAGGCTGGCTCCGAAGGAATCGGTGCTTTGGGACCAGAACCAGAAGAGAATTGTTTACCGCCAATCTGCCCGCTCCTTGTTATTCACTGCAGGGCACCTTCGAGTGTTTCAGCGCGGCGAAAACCGACGAGTGGCGAGAATCGATGAGTGCAGGGACGTGCTGTTTCGCGCTTTGTTGCAAGAAGTCAGAATCTTTTTCGGGCACTATGCACGCATTGGCACAGGATACAATCTCTGTGCAGCTGCAGACAGCTCCCTTCATGATTCGCTGTTTGTTAGGAATCCGGCTACTGACTACGTGTATTGACCAGTGTCCGACTCTCTCCTGATTCGCCCACAGGAGGATGTGCTTGAAACTACTGGATGAAGGAACCTTTCTATTTTGTAGAGTTTGTGCTGATTCGATCTTACAGCGCTGCTGCTCGCGGATGCAAACACTTGAATTTGATTCTAAGAGCTTCGGATGAGATGTGTCTACGATGCTTAGCTTGTTCGTGCAGCTGCGAACGTTGGCCAGTGACAGCGACTTGAACTTCTCCAGCCATACTTCCACCAGCAAAAGTCAAGTGAAATTCAGACACTGAAGCAGAACTCGACAGGATGGGAGTGTCAAGTGCTGCGACTATGCGGTAGACGTCGACAACTTCGCCTGTTACACATCATTCCACCGAGCAAATACCACTCGCCTAGGCCTAAACGGATTTGACCCGACTGCAGTTTTGCAACTTCGGTGGCATCGACAGTCTTCAGCAGTTTTCACTCCAGGTACAACCCGGACATGCGACACGACTCGTTGCAAGATGCGCTCAAAAATCCGTATTTCGCCTTATGCAAACACCAGGACCTTCGATGAATGACGGCTGTCTTAAGCTATTTGGCGTTCTCCTTCAATCCCGCTGATCCTGGATGGCCACATCTGTTTGCGACACTTTGCAGTTCACTCGGAAGGTTGGATGAGCTTCACCGAAATACTACCCAAACCGAATCCACGAAATGCATCATGACATTTCAGGGTGCACATCGTAGTGGATGCCTCCTCGAAGAAGTACATCGTCGTCGTATCCGTTTCAAAACATTCAGGATTTGCACCCAAGGAGACGACGGGAGGAGGACAGTCCAGCGAATCTGGGACGGTGAAGGACTTTGAAGCTTAGGCCCTCTGCCGAAACAATAGTTTGACTTCACGCTGAGTTGTGTTCTTCCGTTGCACGGAGGGGATGTGCATGTTTCTGCATTCTGATCCTGTGCAAAAATTCAAGCGGTGTGGGCGCTCCTGCTCCAGTGGATGGGTCACTGTCGAGGCACTCTGTACATGTGACGAAAAGTCGCAGTGTGCCATGAACGTGACGTAGCTTGTGCTTCTTGCATGTGTGCCGCGGGCTCGAGTACCAGCGTCATTTCCACTGCTCGTTTGCCACAGTCTGATGCGAAATGGACTAGATTGAAGGTATGAGCTCATGCGAATGCTGTGCAACATGCATGTATCAGGTGTGTCTGAGGTGTAGCAGGAAGAGTATATCAGGTTGAGAGCACGACTTCGGAAAGGAGTCGCACCGTGGCACCGTCTGTCCGCATGTTGACATGTACACATACCTACCTACCTACCTGCCTACCTACCTACATACATGCATACATACGTACATACGTACATATGACATGTATATGCATGTAACTGCGTGTATGTATCTACGCATGAATGAATGCATGTTATGTATGTACATACGTATGTATGTATGCAGGTATGTGTGTGTGTATGTTCATGTGCACATATATCACCAACTCTCTCTAGCTCTGTCACTCTGTCTGTCTCTCTATCTCTCTCTCTCTCTCTCTGTGTTTGAGGGTGGGTGGCCACGGAAGTATGGGCAACATATCAAACAGTGGTTGCTTTTCTCTTGCACCACGTTTTTTGCTGCAAAGAACTTACAGGGGAGTGTGGCATGCGCGTCCTACCACACTCAACAAAGCTGCGGATGCAAGTGGGATGATAATCTGTCTTGTGCACATGAAGAAAAGGCTGGGCCCGCTGCGGCATCCAAATTAGGAGGCGAGCAAGATAGTACCCAATGCCGCGGCAGCAGTGTCGGATATGCCAGAAACTCACCCTCTCCCCGCACCCTGGGCGCACATCAAACAACGCTGGTATGGCTGTTCGGGGATGGGCCTTGCCTGTGCGCTCGCCTGCAGGCGCAATGCGCCGTCATGGAACAAAATTTCCGCCTACACACAGAGCTGCGGAAGGCCCCGTGATCGAGCGCATTGTGACAGTGCTCGGCGTTTGAAATCCACTGCACAGCAGTCGCCAGGATCTGGATTCACTTCGCGCTGAAGTGCAGCAGCTCAGAGGTGAGATGCGGGCATAGTGCAAAGAAAAGGAAGGATTCTCTTTCGTCGGCAAGGAACTTTGCAGAAAAAAACCAGACATGGAGAGAGACCGCCTGTAGCCGTCTAATATGTGAGTGAGCAGAGCACACGAGAGAAAGGATCCAAACCCAAAGTCCCGGGAGCAGCCGGTGAGAGCCGTAAGAGCCAGTCTGCACTCTGCTCATTTTTGGCCCCCCATGGCACAAGCCTCGGTCGGCCAAGTACGCGACGACGCCGAGGCCAGCCATGGCCAGTGCAGGAAGGAGTCCTTTTCCCAAAACGCATTCTGAACATTCTTTGCTTATTGGTCTCTGGACTTCACTACATGTGGTAAAAGGAAGCAGAGCTTGCATCAGCCTTGCACCCGTGCTGGACCAGCATGCGCCACCAACCCGGGGATCACTACAGGAGGACCTGGAAGCACAGAGTCAGAGCTTCCGTTTCCTTGCTGTGTCTTGTTGGAGGCGCTTCTGCAGAAGGAGCTGGAGCAAATCGATGCTCGCGCTGGCCTCGGAATGGGAATCGGAGCAGAACGGGCGACGTCCTTGGCTCCAGGGCTGGCATCGCTGCGCGCATCGCCAGGCTCACAACACGGCCTTCTGTTGCCATAGCAATGCTCAAGCATGCAGGTACCAATACCAGGGTTGCAGGCCAAAGCCAAGCCGAAAACTCAGCACAGCCGAGTAGCGATCCCAAGCCTCTCTTGGATAGGGCAACCGTCTTGTACATCGCGGGGTGCTGTTCGCGACGTAGACCGCGCAGGACGTAGACCACATCCAAATATTCGAAGTCATTCTAGTGCGACAACAGCTTCTCCCGCAGTCTCTTCGAGTGTAGCTAGTGTAGCCTCCAGAAGCCCCGTAATGCCCCGTAGCACAGCTCAGCGTATGCCACCTTGGCAGCTGCACATTCAAGACCCGACTTTGCCCCCCGCATGAGACTTGTTCTCGTTACGGAGAAAAGCCCAGCTGGGGAACGTCGGCAAGGTCAGACACAGTTTCAGTCCTTCTTCCAGGTCGGCAAGCACAAAGCCGCTCAATTTTTCCCAAACATGCTTGCAATCAGCACTGGCTGTATTGCTCCTGGCCGCATTTACAGCTTTGCGGCTTGAGTCAGAAGTCGAAGCATGTCACGCAGTGCGCCCAAGACTTTGCCTCAGAGGCTTAGATTAGATTTGATTAGATCATGAGCCGCTAACAGCAAGGACCTTTCTGTCGACCTTAGGCCACGACATAGTCTGATATAGGATGAGCTTGACATGGATTGTGCTGCTGTTCTTCGGGAGATGTCTGGGTAAAGGCTGCTGGGATGCAGAGACATTAGCCGCGCCAAAGCCACACCAGAACCACAGCGAGTGGCTGGCAGAGCTGAAATCCTGGCGCGAAGAACATTCAAAGAGATATCAGGCGGAAGCCTACAAAGATCCAACCTTAACGTGGACTCGAACGTCTTATGTCCAACCACAGATCCACTTGTACGATCGGTTTCTCTTCGATGGGTCCTGGACGACGGAACGGTACTTGGATGATTTGGAGCATCGTTACGGTGGCATCGACTCGGTGCTTATTTGGCCGACCTACACGAACATCGGGATCGATGATCGGAACCAGTTCGACTATTTTCGAGCGGTTCCCGGTGGACTGAAGGCCTTAACAAACCTGACACTGTCCTTCCACAAGCGGAAGGTGAAGGTTCTCTGGGCCTACAACCCCTGGGATCAAGCGACGCGGGACGAGGGCCGGCACTGGGATGTCCTGGCCACTCTCCTAAAAGCCACCGGAGGCGCGCCGCAGCGGCGGCTAGCGGCTAGTGCACGCGTAGTGGTAGTGACGTAGTGGCAGGTGTGTGTGAAGAGACATGGTAGACGTTCTGAGACTCCTCCCCATTACTTTTCCACGTCCACCTGTCTGTTTTCACAGACAAAGCCTTCGGCTGCTCGAGGCGATGGCTTCAACGGGGACACCATGACGACGATCCCTTTGGAGTTTTGGGAAGCCGGTACACATCGTAACTTCACCTTCGCGGTAGAGCCTGAAGGGGGCGGCGTCCCCTGCGACGACGATTTTTCCAGCGCAGGCCGCAGGCTTAGCCGCTACTGTAGGCCGCTTCTCTTCGCTGCTTAGCCATTAGCCGCAGGATGGACACCGCTCGGATGGGGATACTTTGGCCAGAAACGAGCGGACCGCATGACTATGAAGTACGACTACGAGCCTGGCTGCTTGGATCCATCCGGCCGTGGACCCTCGTCGCCGGATGTGGTGGCTTGTTCTGGGCTGTGCATGTAAAGCTCAGGTGTCGACAAGATGAAGTGGCTCGATCCCCGCGGCAGACATTTGACTCATGTCTGTGATCGTTGGTCAAAGAGCCGCGCGACCGCCATACAGCTGGCCTTCTTCAATGGAGATGGCTACGAGTCATGGGTGTGTTGGCTGAAATGCTGTCGTGTTGCTTTCGGTGCTTGCATGGTCTGTGAGATCGTCGAACATGAGGGGTATGGGCGAGATGGCTGCATACTTCCACCTTTCTAACCTGCAGAACCGAACGTCAGTTTGCATTTTGTCACTGTCACTAGAGCAGGTATTGCGGCCTCGCCATCAATCGCCGTCACCATGTCTTAGTGTAAATCTCCAGGTTCGCCGCATCGGCCTCGAAATCACGGAGGGAGGGATGGTCACATGCATTGCGAAGCCAAGGAAAACATTTGGGGACTCTACAACCAGCTGACTGACAGAGACGCTGAGCTCCTCCGTCGAAGTGCCACCCTCCTTAGATGGGCGGGCCAACGGCACCTCGCCCTGTCCACATGAGGGGTATCTCATGTTGGCAAACGACTTCGCTTCTTTGTCAGGAACCTGAGCCACGACTTTGATGACTGGGTCCCTCACGCACCTGAGGCCTTCACGGAGGGAGTGGCTGCAGAAAGTGCGCAGAAATTCTCCAGTCTCCGAGGCGACAGATGCCTCCCAGGGCATCTTTGCCTCGCGCTTCGAGAAGGCGAAGGAGGCCTTGTGGTTCCTCGTCAACAAGGGAAAAGAAGACGCTGAGATCAAAGTGAAGGGCTCAGTGGCTCAGCTCTGGGAGCTCTCTACTCGTGGCACAGTCTCCGCTCTCCGTGCAGAGATTCTACAGAGCTGAGGTGCGAATCCCCGAGCCCTACCTGGCCGAAGGCTTTGAGATTTTCGACCTCTACCACGGAAACAAGGCTTGGCCAAGCGCCGTGCGAATTGACTCCGTCACGGGTTCAATGGGAGGTGAGCCCTGAGACGGACGGCAGCTTGACTTGCAAACAAGGCCAGCCTGTCTTGAGACGAGATGGCAAAGCAAGGTGAGCAAGGTGTGGTGAAGCTGGCTATCGAAGCTTCCGGGATCTCGGCACTTCTCGCAACGGCCCAAGAGCGGCTCGGCTTGCAAAGCCGCATCTGGGAGGGGCCCCCTGTGGCTGTGAGGGGTGCTGAAATCCGTCACAGACAGAAAAAAGAGGCCGGCAGCTACTTCGCCGCCTTCTTCGCTGCGGGCGCTCCTGGAGAGGATGCGGAGACTCTCGCGCAGGCGCCTCGCGGCTCGGAGCGAAGAATGCCAGAAGGGCGGCGGCGGCCGCCGGGGCGGCGGCCGGGGGGCGACTGCGGCTGCTTTGCGACTGCTTTGCTTTTGCGGTTTGCATCCCCCCCTGTTGGAGCCTTCCTTCACTGAGCATCCGGTTAAGCTGCGGCTACTGGAAGAGCAGGAGTACCGTCAACTAGAACATGTAGGGTTGAGATGGCACACTGGGCGCTCTTCGATGCTGGCGAACCCGACAGTGGATCTTGCCACAATGATTCATACGAGAATATGGTTTTTGTCGCTGAGGCAGAGTTTTCTGACCTTTGGCACGTTCTGCCACAGAAGATGGACCCCAGGCAGCTCGATCTTTAAGTGAAAAGCTCGGCAGGGAACGGATTCCGCTTCACGAGCTCAGGCCGTCTTCCAAGATCTTTGATTCGAGCCCGCCAGAGATGGTCTTGCTGCTTGGCCGATCTTTGAATGTCCGAAAGGCGACATCGTGCGACTCTAGCAATCACAGAGTCACGCTCCGCTCTTTTTGCTCAGCTCGAGGAGGTTATAGCTGTTCCCGGGGAAAGATGCGAGCGCATACTCCAAAAGTCTTGTGAAAGCTGTGGCAGTGAAATACCGCGTAGGCCAAGCACTCCCTCCCCTCCGTTCCCCCTCCCGTGCTTCCGTTCCTTTTCCGTTCCCCTGCGCCCATGGCGAGCAAGAATCTTTGGCGGCGGCGGAGCTGCTGGCTTTGCCTCCTCGCCATTCTTGGCAGCCGCGCAGCGAGTCGAGCCTTTGGGGCGCTTGGGGCGCTGCACTCGCCGCCCCCAGCCTCAGCGCTCACCAGAAGCTCCCTTGCTCGACCCAGAGCCCCGGGCCGCAGCTACAAAACCGCGCGGCCTTCGCTTGTGACAGGCCGCTTAGTGAGTCCTGTAGCAGCTACCGACGCATGACACTCGGAACGGATTGAGACCGAGGAGAGCAGAGATGTTTTCTGCGTTGTCGCTAGGCAGATCTAGGCAGGTACTCGTAGGCGCCGCCCCTTCGCCAGGCCCACAGCTGCTCTTTCCGGTCTTTGCCTCTGCGCTCGGATTTTTGGGGGTCGAGGCCGCGCGGCAGGCGAACGAGGGAGCAGCCTTGAAGGATCTCATTCAGAAGTACACGAACATCATCGTGAAAGATGCTCCAGATGGCGTGCCGAACATGCCCGTGGATGGAGTGTATTGGTACGTTAAGGATCCGGATGTCTACCGACGTGTCCTGGTACAGGGCGACTTGGGTCTAGGAGAGAGCTACATGGATGGGCTTTGGGAATCCAACGATGTCGAAGCCCTTGTCAGGGAGATGATCAAGCTCGAACCTGTGAAGAAAGATTTGGGTCTGGCTGGTCTCCCCTTGTTGGCCAGTGCAGTGGTTGGCACGCTGTCTTGGTTGCTCTTCCCCGGGAACTCGCCCACAGGTGCCAAGGAAAACATTGCCAAGCACTATGATATCTCGCTGAAGCTGTATGAGCAGATGCTGGGGCCAACGATGCAGTCGCTTGGCAGAGGCATCCTTTCAGCCTTGCAGAGCACGGGTTGGGTCTGTTTGTTAAGGTACTCGGGCGCGTACTACCACAAGCCTGGCATGAGCCTGGAGGAAGCGCAGCTGGCGAAGATGAGGCTGGTAGCAGAAAAGCTGGATCTGAAGCCAGGCATGAAGGTTCTGGAGCTCGGCTGTGGCTTCGGAGCTTTGGCCGACCTTATAAGCACAGAGTATGGTGTGCACGTCACCGGAGTGACGCTTTCAGAAGATCAGTATCAGTACGCAAAGGAGCACTTCCAGAATCCTGCTGTCGATATTCGTCTGCAGGATTACCGGAGTATGACCGGTGAGTCTGGTCAGTTCGACAGGATCTACTCCGTTGGAATCTTTGAGCACATCGGTCGCAATTGCTATGAGACCTACTTTGAGAAGTGCCATGAGCTGCTGAAGGAGAATGGCATCATGGTGATCCACTCCATTGGCTTTGCCCGGCGCGGGGAGTGGAACCACGGGGGGTGGATGAACAAGTACATCTTCCCCGGAGCCGAGCTCCCCACCATGTGAGGGCCCCAAGCCCAAGCGCAATAGACGAAGGACGTCTCTCTCTCGCTCTCTCTCTCTCTCTCTCTCTCTCCTTCTCTCTCTCTTCGATCTCTGAGGTCCCACTTCACACAAGAGTTTCATGATCGATGGCACATGGAGGATTGGCAAAGCTTCGGAGTCAGCTATGCCAAGACTCTGCGAGAGTGGAAGCATCGCCTGGACAATTGGAAGGGCCTCGAAGAGTTCGAGGTTCGCTTTCGCCGGATGTGGGACTCTTGTCTGCAAATCTTCGTCGGAGCCTCCAGAAGAATTTGGTGGAAACCGACAGCGCCAGGAGTACTACCTCGACTGTTGTGCCGCCTCTTTCGAAGCACGCAGAACCAAGCTTTGGCAGAGCCTTGTTTGCACGCAACGGACAAGGCCTGAAGCATGCACCATGTCCGAGTAGTCATTTACGACAGCCAATCACACATGAGGATCGTGTACACGAAAATGCCAGCTGCGACGCAGAGGGAGGATGACTGTCATCACATCCGCCAGCCGATGATCTCTAGCCGGCCAAAGACTGCCAGCCGCTGGAACACAGAGATCTCTTGAGGGGATCCGTCAAGACAGAACTCACTGAGGGATGTCTCAACTTGGGGGGGGGGCTCTTTCCATGTCGTGGGATTTAGTGGCTCCAGTTTCGAGGCGCACTTGCTTTAACGCCCTCGGCCTCAGATCCTCAGATGCAGACCAGGTCCAAAGCGCTGGGAAAAAGCCTCGACTCCCATGGCCTCCAAGCTCTTCTTGCTCTCCCAGAGCTTTCTGCTTTCGCCAAGGCTCCCCCGCATGGTATTCAACTTTTCGAGCAGCGGCACGGAGTTCGAGGGCGGCTGCGATCCGGCCGAGGACGACAACGAGATCTGCCTGCCGGACAGAGAAGAGACGAGGGAGAGAGAGAGAGAGAGAGAGAGAGAGAGAGAGAGCTCTGAGGCTGCAAGGGCAGGTGTGTGGAGCCTGGAGCTCCAAGCTGCCAGTGCGGCGTCGTGCAGTTGGAGTACTTTGGACAAGAGCTCAGTAGAGTCAGTAGAGATGAGGGGTCCGCTCGTGAAGGGCTGAGCTTTGAAAGCTGGAGAGTCTCAGGAGTGGACGTGCAATTCCCATGGGAAGACCGACCAGAACGTAATCACAGAAAGTCTCTTGATCTCGGCCCTTTTCTCATGGATCGCGATTTGGCAGCGAGGCTGCATATGATGCGCGGATGCAGCATGCCTCAGGCTGCGGTTCCAGCGCTTCGCCCGTCAACCTGTCACTCTGCAGGTCACGAACGCTGACTATCTCCGGTATTTGAATGCCAGCGGATCCTTGACCTAAGCCGTTTTAAAGCGGCACACGAGGTTCCTTTGCACACAGGGGAGCCTTAGTCCTCAGCGGTTGAGCGGAGTGGCAGAGCGGCAGAGCGAATGCGACATTGAGGATATAGTCCTGCTGACAACTTCAATTTCTTGAAGCACTGGCAGACTGGCGGGCCGAAACCAGGCACCAAGGGCACACGCAAGATGTGACACCAAGACTGGTGCTACAAGTAGATCCTGTGATTTAGCTGTCTGTATGAGCATGTCTTGCGCTCACGTTGGACATGTTGCTCGTGAGAGTCCGAGCGCAGGCGATGAGCAGAAACCGGTTGTGAACATTGGATTCGAAGAAGCGGAGAGGCGCGGGATGGCGCGGGGGTGAATCTCCGGAACATCTGAAAGGGGCTTCCAAGCAGGACATGACTTTCAGGATGCCAGGCAGCAGCATTACTCTGAAAAGAACCTGCTAAACGGCTTGTGGTAGAAGCCAAGTGAATTTGCGAAAGGCCTGTGCGCAAGGGCTAGCATTTTGCAAAATCGAATCAAGTGCAGAACTTCGGCTCGCATCTGGTAAGGAGCATCATCAGAGCTTACTGAACAGCCATCGCATACATGAAGCCGGCAACCTCAAGCCAGGTACTGTCGCTTCTACGGAAAGAGGTTGCCTCACAGCTCCTTGGCCAGCAGCGTCCCACCAGGCCGTGCACAAAGCACAAACCAGCAAGATCCAGCACCTTCCAGGTTATGAGTGGCAACTCGCCGCGCAGGGACTAGATGGAAGAAAATATCCTTGGGGTGATCACTGGGATCCTTCTGCCGTCCCCCCTCCCGGCCGGGCGACTCACTTTGGCTTGCACTCAGCACAGCTGTGCCATGCTGTGCGTCACGACAGGTCACGATCCCGAAAGCATTCGGAAGCACGAGAAGGGCACGTCCGTCTTCGGTGTGCACGACTTGATTGGAAACGTGTGGCAATACACGGACTCCTTCCGAGATGAGCACTCCAGGGCCGTCCTGCTGCGGGGGTCCAGCCGTTACAACCCGCAAGTCTCGGAAGCCTTCCCCTCCCTGAATCAGTCTGTGAACTGGCAACGTGGCCACAGAGCAAAGTTGCCGTTTCTCATGTCTGCTTTGCGACAGGGTGGGGCGTGAAGTACTTAGGTATTTCCCTCCTGCTCGCGAGTGGAGTTCCCGGAAATTCTGGCATCGCAATGGGCATTTTCGCACGTGTGGAGCTGCACACTGTGTGCCGATCTTTCTGAGGTTGAACAAGCACTCGAAGTATTTCCTCATGAGCATCTGGGCTGCAGCCACCAAGACTGCAGAGAATGCTGGGGTCGATGCATGAGAGCATGAATCAGGTGAGAGCTACGAGCGTGCTGGGACACTTGGCTTCCGCTGTGCGGGAGACGTGGCCAACGGTGCACCCGCTCCATATCATTACCGAAACGGTGACCAGAAGAACCACAAGGAAGTTCAGTTCGTTTGAACCTGGCGTCTCAGAAGACGTTGTACATAGACGCTGCCCTGAAAACATGAGCTGGTGCGTGACGGCGTGACGGAAGAAGGGGCTCCCAGACCGGCTGCGGAGGTCTGGTGCAGCCCCTGGTCGCAGCCTCAACAAGACACAGGGGAGGAATGAGAATGAGCCTCAAAAGCACCGTCACTGCAGGAGAAGCGCCAAAGCCGTCGAACAAGGCCACCAGGAGAAGCTGAGCAGATGGGGGACATGTACCGCTTCACAGCAGGCAAAGGCAAAGGGAGGGCCGGGGACTCGTCCTTCGAACGGTTCCCAGCCTTTGCTTTTCCTTTTCCTCGCTCCCGAGATCGACAGAAGCGTCTGCAAGGCTCTCTTTTTGCCACAGCTCGTTCCCCCAAACGACAATGGCGATGTTTGGCAGGAAAGCTTGGGTTCCTGCAGCTCCGAAGGCCCCCGGCTTGCGTACCTGTCAACAGCCTTCAAAGACGCCCCTTGGGCCGGAGGTCGTCGATCGTGGGCCTGAGCCAAAGCAAGCCAGCCTCGCAGAAGGCCTCACTACGCACACGGAAAAGACAGTGATAGCCTTGTTCACGACCGATAGCTCCTTTGGAGGTGCGGAAGTTGTTAGTTGACACATCTGTTTTTGGGTCAACATAGATGACTTTTGGTTTGCTCCTGCGAGGGCGGGGGTGGTGGGGAAGAATCCCCCGCCCTCCCCCGACCTTGTTCTGCTGATCTCGAGACTTTCGACCTTCCGGCATCGATCAGTTTATAGCAGCTTGCAGAACGATTAAAGAGAGCGCAAGCCTTCCAGCCATCCTGATGAGTTCTTTGTTGCATCGACGTTTTCTTCGTGGTGAATCGCGGCTTCAGCCTAGCCGAAAATGGCCCTGTTCCCCTGCTCTCTCACTCGTCTCGAGGTTCGTCGGGCGACCTCTGGCTTTCCGAGGTTTTCAGGCTCAAAGAGCTGGCATAGCTTCGTCTATTCCAAAAGGCCCCGCCCCGAGCCGAGGGGCGCGCAAACAAAGAAAGAAGGACCTCCAATTCTGGAGGACCAGAGCGCCAAGGCAGGCAGATGCCAGGCGCGCGCTCGAGAACGATACGCCAGCGCCAAAGAGCAGCCGGCGGTACGTCAGCACATAATATGAAACCGAAACCCGTTCCAATCAGAGCAAATAGAAAGAGTTTGAGAAAGAGAGGACGTGAAGAACGAATTGCAAGCCAGTTGAAGGGAACTAGAAATTAAGAAGGAACAGCAAACCGCTCGACAGAGAGAGACTAGAGAGCTTGAGAAAGAGGAGCCAAACCAGTCGCAGCAAAAAATTGGCCTGTTTCGAACGCTTCGCTCTTGACCTTATGTTCCTTCATGCTGCAAACGAATCGCTTCCCTCAGCTTTGAAGGCTTATGAGCGGACGCCCCCTAACCGTAGGTGCAGGCGCAGGTTCGTTAAGCTCTCTTGTGCTTACTCTCATGAATCAGCACTGCAACCTTCACCTAGCTACGAGCAGCCAGGGCTTATCGGACAACCCATAACGGTCGAGAATCCCACTGAGCTCCCTCCGGCATTCTGGGTCGGTTTGCTAGCTGGCGTCCTCATAGGGATCCTCCTCTCCTTCCTGCTCGACCTGTTGTACCTCCTCAAGCAATACTTGGCCATCGAGATTCGGAATCGGCTGGCGACTTTGAGTTTGAAGGGCGGCGGCCATGCATGAGCTCCCAGCTACGTCACTTGGAAGCCGCCTTTGCGAGACTCAGCATCCGCCTCGAAGCGGCGGAAGAGCGCATTGCTGATCTGGAACGTCAAGGGAGAGGAGATCACCTGAGCCGAGCGGGCAGCTCCTCCGAGTTCTCCGTGGTCATTGCAACTCCGCCTATAGGGTATCTTCGGGTTATCAACGAGCCGCGCATCCTCCCGCTCAGGAGTACCCCTTGCAGGCTTCGCTTCGGATGCCCTGCTATCAGCGACCGCGAGAGGCAGGTGCTTGCTGACGAGATCGCGGACTGGCTCCGACGCGACGAGGACTTGAGGACCGAGGGGTTGGAAATTCGGGGCGTGAGCGCCTGAGCCTTCGTTCCAGGATTTACGTGATCGCCCGCGACTACCGTGACCAGTGCTTTGACCCAGTGCGGGTGTACTCTCGCCTGACAGGCCTCCGCTCTCATTTTGGCCCAGGCCAAGATCCGGGAGCTGCCGTGTTCATTGGGTTCGCCTCCGCTCCAAAGGCTCGACGTGCTTTGGCTAGGGCCAACTTGAATTGGCCTGCTGCCACCGGCTAAGTGTTGGAACCGAGCTGCTGCGAAGAAATATTGTGCGCCTTGACTTGGTTCGCAAGGTTTCCACGGCCCGCGCTAAGTGCGCGGACTCTGAGGAGCGCTCAAAGGCCTTGGACTCCGAGCTTCGCTTGTGCTTGGGCTTCCTCACGGCCGAGGCCGAGGGAGGCTGCCTTTGACTTCGTCCGCGACTTTGACGACAAGCTGGAGATTGCGTACAGCTTCGGCACTTCCGAGCAGCCAGTATGCCGACGCCCTTGCTGAGATGGCCAAGAGCACCTTCGAGTTCCTCACCGATCTCGGAGCTCTAAGCAGTCCGCTCGCCCTCCACCGTCGAAAGCAGGGGCTAGACCCCACGGTGGTGAAGGCGGCTTTGGAATTCGGGATCGCCGAAAAGTGAGGACATTGCCAGAATGCGACTTCGCCAGCGAGGTCCTAGGGGAGACGCGCGGTGGAACTACAGCCGAACCTGCTGTAGCTTCTCGGTTAGAATTTGGCAAGGCCCCCAGGTTCCACCCCGCGGAGTACATGGACGATGTCAGTCTGGACCGATACTTAGAGGACACCGGAACGAATCTCGGCCTCCCACTCTGGTCCAACTTCCTGAACAAGGCCAGCTTCTCCGAAGAATTCGAATAGCATGATCCAAAAAGGGTGAACCCGTTCTCGCTGCTCAAACGGCCTTTTCAGCATCCCGGAATCCTTCACTGCTGACAGGATGATATTGGACGCCCGGGGACCGAACTTGCTTGAGAGCGGCCTCAACAGATAGACACAATCCCTCGGCTGCGCCGAGGCGATCCTTCAGATGCGTCTTGCTGATCAGGAAGTTCTTGTTCTTTCAGGTGCCGACCTTAAGGATTACTATTACCACTATGTCATCAGCCCCCAGCGTCTGTTGAGGAACGCGCTCGCTGGGACCGTCAACGAGACTACTGCTCGGACCTTCAGCTGCTTTGAGAATCACATGGCCGGCCAGGGCCCTTTCCGAGCCGCCTTGAACAGCATGGCCATGGGTGACCTTAACAGCGTTGAGTTCGGACAGCTTTCTCACCTTTCTCTCAGCCTGCAGGCAAACGTCTTCTACCCGGAAGAAATGCTCACTTTGAAGTCCCGAGCCCCACGCACACCGATTGCAGACGGGGTCGTGATCGATGACTTTGTTCGTTGCCGAAAAGATGGACCGGTCTAAGGTCGCTTCGCTCGGGAGTGGAGCCAGTGCTGGAGCCCTACGATTGAAACGAGCCGAGAGTGCGTGTGTCAAAGGTGTGAGCAGCTCAAAGCTGAAGTTTGGGGAGCCGAGATAGATGGGGACTCCGGGACATGTCGGCCGCTGACTTCTAGGCTATCCCCGGTCATCTCCATCACCGTTGACATCCTAACTACAGACAAAAGCGGTGACGCGACACATATTCTTGCGTCTATAGCTGGGTTCTTCGTTGGGGTTTTTCAGTTTCGACGAAGGTGCATGTCGCTGCTTGAGGAAGTCTTCAAGGCCCCTCGCTGGTTGGACGAACACAAGGCTTTCCGGATCTGGCCAGCTCTGGAGGCTGAACCTTGGATGCTGGTGCTGATTTCGCCGGCTGTCAGGTTCAACCTACGCAGCCAATTCTGCTGTGAAGCTTCGGCCACTGACTCGTCGGACAGCTGGGAGGCCGAAGTGTGCCAGGTTTTCTGCGCGGATCAACGGCGAGCTGGCCAACGGCGAGCTGGCCCCCGCCGAAGCTTCCGAGTGGAGTCTCGTTCAGCTATCATCCTGTCTGGCAGACCTTGTTCAGGACCGTGAAGTTCAACGAGGTATGGCGGCGAAGGATCTGGATGCCGCGGCATATAAATGTCCATGAGTTGCGCACTCTCTTGGCTGCTGAGTGTCGACGCGGTCTAAAGGCCCCTGCCACCAGCATCGTGAGTGCCAGCGATTCTCAAGTGTCTTTAGGAGCTACGCTCAAGGGTCGTTCTGCTTCACCGAGACTTAACGGCACCTTGCATCAAAGCTTGCCTGAGCACTTGTCTTCAGATATCAGCGGCATCTACGCTTACGTAGGAACGGCTGACAATCCCGCCGATGACCCTACCAGGCATGCTAAAGTTCGTGAGCCGCGCGAGGCCATGCCTCAATGGATGGAACAAGCCCTGGGAGGATCTTTCAACGAGCTGAGGGCGTTCCTGCAGGACTTCGAGTTGGATACTGTCAGCATGCTTGGCCTCCCTCCCTTCGAGAGCATCGTGCCCCTCGCCCTGTCGAGACCCGGACTACCTCGAGAAGCCCGACGGAAAAACTTTGAGGAAAGCCTGGGAACAGCTTGCGAAGCTCACGAGTCCGAGACCTTTGCTCGAGCCCTCCTGCAACGAGACTCGTTGGACCCTGAGGACCTCCTGGAGCTCAGCCGGTTGTTGTCTCTGGAAGCTCCTTCAGCGGAGGCCCCTTTGTGCGCGGCGGAGTTCTTGAGATCCGTCGAAACAGCAGGAGCCTTCCGGCATGCGAGCGGGTCGTGACAAAGTTTGTCTCCGAGCACTACCCCGCCGAGTTCACCAGCTTCGTCTTCTTGACCAACGTGAAGACCCCGGCGCACCGAGACCCTCCCAACAGCGCCGAAAGCTTGAACCTGGTGGTGAGGCTCAGCTCCTTTTGGGGAGGCGAAATCTGGGTCGCCGATGAGTCGGGGACGAAAACATGAATGGAAAGGAGGTGCGCGGCCGAAACTTGGACTTCGGGGTGAGCCCGTCCGGCACCGAGTACCAATGCCTGAGGCTGGCTTCGGTGGTGCGCGGTTTTTGGGGTCGCCTACTTGGCATAGCTCGTGCTGGCGAGCCCTTGCGCGCCCTCCGGAAAGACCTTTTGCTGCCCTCCGACACCCTGTCGGCGCTGTCTACGCATTCATGGCTGCGCTAGCCCCAAAGACTGCTTGCCGTGGTAAGGGCCGGGTCCAGCATCTTTGCATCAGGAACCCTGCTTTCAGCTCTTTTCTGGAATACGTTTACAGCCGTGTACCTCCCGGCGACCTGTTGCGTCGTGGCTCGCCTTCTGACAGCACTAGGACGAATTGCTGCTGCTGTTGGCGGTGCCAAAGACAGCCTGCCTCACCCCTGGAGGCTTACGTGGCAGGGGGGCAGTGAAAGCTTACAGGGACGGCAGGATTTGATGTGGAGGATGAGGGTGAGACACTTCGTCACGCTGGAGTCTTATCTTCAGGAAGTGGCAGCGTTATCTGTCGTGCCCAGAAAGTCAACGTCGTGTCTCTGCCGCTTGTGCTTTCTACCAACCCTTTTCTGACAGCAGCGGCTGACGCTCTCGAAGCTGTGTTATTGGAGTGACCGCGCACGCCGCTCCCGCCGCTGTGGCCGCCGGCTTACAGGTGGAATGAGGCATCTGGCTGCCGCTTTTCTGCTGCTTCAGCTTAGCTCTCGAGCTTTTGCGAAAGCTGTTTCGGCTGGTGCCTGAAGCCTCTTACTTCTTCAACCTGTTGGGCTACGGCTGCTGAAAACGACAAGATGCGTAGCTCCTTGGGAAGGATGTTAGCGAGGAGGCTGCATGTTCCTTCATGCTGCAAACGAAGCGCTTCCCTCAGCTTTGAAGGCCCGCCTCTCCCACCCGAGGAATGAGGCATCTGGCTGCCGCTTAAGTTGCGTAGCTCCTCGGGAGGGATCTTAGCGAGGAAGCTGCATGTTTTTCTATGCGCTTTCGATTGCTTTTGCTTTAACTTGTCGAGTCTCTTTCGAGCGGCCTGCTCTTGCTTCTCAATTTTTCTAGTACCAGTTTGCAATTCGTTTCTTCTGTGTGGCGATGTATCTCTCTAGCTGGTTGCTCCCATTTCTCAGTTTCTTCCGTCAAATGTTCCAGTCTTATCCGACTCCTGTTTTTGCTCGACTGGTTTGCTCCGCTTTCTCAACTTGTCTTTCTGTCAAATGCTCTAGTCTGTTTGGAGCGAAACGTTCTGGTCCTTTGCAGCTGGTGTGTTCCTCTGGTTTGTCAAGCTCCTCAGCCCCTTTTCGAGCAGTGTTTAGTCTCTTTCCAAGTTGCCCAGTCTCTTTCGAGCGTTGGCTCCTGTTTCGCAAGTTGTCTAGTCCAATTCGACGGGTTTGTCCGTTTCTTGAAAATCGTCTTTTTGTCAAATTCTCTAGTTTACTGCTCGCAGTTTCCTCCTGCTCAAACACTCTGCTTCTTTTTGTTCGCAATGCTGCTCCTAGGCAAGATCTTTCGCCCTTGTTATCGAAACTCGCATCTCCAATTTTTCATACGGTCGTGGTTTATGAGATGTTGCACTGTCTTTTCGAGCGGTTCCGTGTGCTTGTCAAACTGTCTGGTGTGGTACTCCTGCTTCTCAAAATTCTGTACAGGAACAAGCAAACCAGTCGAAATAGAATACAAAAAACAAACGTTCAAGATCGGCTGAAGCTCACAAATGCTCCTCTTGGTCACAACTTCGCTCTTGATGTTCTATCTGTCCAGTACTGGTTGGCGGCTGCTGGATTTTGACACTGTCTTGAGCAGCTTACTTCTGTTTCTCACAGTGTCAAACATATTTCGGCTGGCGTTCCTCTTTTCCGGGCAAACACTCTTGTATTGTTCCAGCCGTCTGTTCCTGTTTTTGCATGCCCTAGTCCTTTTTGCTGGTTTGCTCTCTTGCTCCTTTCGAGCAGTTTGGTCCTGTTTGAAACATTGTCCAGTCCTTTTCGGCTGCTTTGTTCCCTTGTCTTAAACCCTCGTTGTGTCAAGTGTTCCAGTCTCTTTCGAGTGGTTTGCTCCTGTTTCTCGAATGTTCGAGTATCCTTCGACTGGTTTGGTCCTCTTTCTCACATGCCTTTTTTCGGTGTTAAATTCTTTAGGCTCGGGCGTTTTGCTCCTTCTGCTCAAGCTTTCTTCAAACATATAGTTGGCCAGCGGCTTGCCGGTCTTTTTGAATTTCCTCTATCAAGTTCTCCAGTCTCTTCCCGAGCTCGCTTGCGAGCAGTTTCCCCCAAATTTAGATGCATTAGTCCCCCTCGACGTCGTCCTTAAAGTCTCCATCGTGGCAAAATCGTTGGTCCTTGTTTCTGAAGTGACGCTTTTTGTCGAAGTTTCTTGTGTCTACCGAACCATTTCGCTTGTTTCTTGTCAAACCGTTTTGATGCCTCTAGACTGGTTTGCATCTCTCTCTCTCTCTCACGTTTTCCTGTCTGGTGAAATCCTCGCTGTGTCTTTCTAGTCCTTTTCAATTGGTTTGCGCCTCTTTCTTAAACTATCGTCTTTGTCAAACTCTGTAGTCTCTTTCGATCGCTTCTTTCGAGCTCCTGTTTCGCTTCCCTGTCAAACTATCTAGTATCGTTCGAGCGGTTTGTTGAATCATCCTCTTTGTTTCTTCTTTCTCATAGTCTCCTCTTTGTCAAATTCAAAGTTCTCCCCTTTAGCGGGTTGCTCTGCTTTCTCGATTTGTTTAGTCCATTTCATCCAGTTTGCAACTCTTCTCAAGTTGTCCTCCTTGTCAAATTCTCGTTATTTTTTGAACGGTGCGCTCCTCCTCCCTCAATTCTCTGGTCGATTTCGTCAAGCGGTTTGCTCCTCTTGCTCAAAATCCCCTTTTGCTTCTTCCCAAGTTTACAAGTCTCTCTTGAGCAGTTTTTGCTCCTGCTTGAGTTTTCCAGTCTCGGCTCAGTTTCAAATTCTATCCGGCCACCCTACGGGCTCAAACGTCGCAAGCCTCCGCATTGGCAAATCGATCACAGCTTGAAAAGCGGGCACTCAGTTTCAAGTTAAAGAGTAATGTACTGTTTGCGGAATGCAGTGCCAGACCTGGGCTTCACCTTGCAGGCCGTGCCCGCTGGCAGCGCATCAGCAAGCGGCTGCAAGGGGAGAAGGAGAAGCTGCAAAGCGCGCCGAGCGCGGAGAGCGCGAGGGACGAGCCTTCCAAGGTGCGGGGGAAGTGCTGGGGCGGCGGTCAGCACCGCACGCGCGCCGCACGCGCGCCGTACGCCTGCGTCCGACCGCCGAGGCCAAGGCCTCGAAGGCCAAGGCCTCGGCCAAACCCTCGGCTGGCACTGCGAGGTGCGGCAACTTGTCGGGCCAGGGCCCCAAACAGCGGGAGAGCGCCGGGAGGAGGCGGTGCTTCTCTCTGCTAAGTGCTGACCCTGAGCCCCCTTCTCGAGCCGACAACCGCGGTTTTTGTACGTCTCCGGACGTCCGCTCTCCGAGGTTCCGAAGGGCGGAAGGTCACACGTTCAGCTAGCAGATGCCTCCTCAGTTTAATTGCAGCTTTTGCAGACCGGGAAAGTCTGGGCTTTCCCAGACATCACCGCCCAAGATCGAAGCTCGTCCGAAGCGCCACAGGCTCTCGGAGAGCTGGGGAAGAAACCTCTGCTCATTGCTTGTCGCATGTTCCTCATGCTGCAGGCGCCGATCGGAGCCTACGTTGGTCCGGAGCATGCTGTGTTCCGCGCTCGTTTCGCAGCCTCGAAGGTTTCGCTTGAAGCGAAAGTTGGCGAGGTCGGTGAGTTTGGAAGCGGCTGCCCCAGACTTGTTGGAGGCCGCCCGCGGAGGACCTTGTACTATTTCGGACTGCACGGCTTGCCCCTGCGTCTGCTCGGCTCTTCCGTGCACATGGGAGCTGGTGAAGTGAATCGGTGGAAGATTTGGGTTCTCGAGGAGATAAGCAAAAGACCCACAGTCCTCGACGGTCCTCGGAGTCCTCGTTCTTGCTTGCAGTTCAACTTCCCGGGCAGCTGGGCTTTGGGCTTTGGCTCCCAGGGTTTCTTGTCTGTCCCCACTACATGTCGTCACCTTTCGCGAGCTTGTCGAGCCTTGTCGCGGGTAGGAAATCGCAAATCGCAAAGGCTTCCATTTCTGTGGCTCCTAAGCCCCTCGCAGCAGTCGAAACTCCTTCGCAGAGTCCCCGTGCTGGTCTGGCAGGTGGAGTTCTCGAAGGTGCTCTTCTCGGTCCAGGGCACCTCGTACTTGCCGCCTTGAACTCAGCACAAAGGTGAGTTTAGAGCACATCCCGTTAAGTTCGCAAAACAAAGGCCCGAAGACCCTCGTTATCCGCTATCCCAACTTCCAGAGAGCTCGAGGATTCTAAACCTCTCTGGAGGCCCGCCATAGACTTTCCACCGGGCGACACAGCCCGTCGGAAGTTCTTCGCTGTGGCCGTGCCGGCCTCAAGCGACTTCGGGACTTTGTGGGCAGGACTCAGACTCGACGAGTTCATTTTTCTTTTCGTGGGAGACAGGTCTGGTTACTGTGTTGGGCGTTGGGCTGTCTGTTAGGCTTATGCAGACTGAGCGCTTACAGAAGGTTCATGTCTATTGCACAGCTACTAGCTTGCTTGACAGTCGTCGACGTCGCTAGTCGCAGGAGCAGGGGGCACAGTATGCATCATGACAAAGGCCAGCACAGCCCGTCTTTCGTTTCTATGTCCGGTACGGTGGAGGCGAGCAACGACCTCCAGGAAGCATTGCATTCCACGGGCATCCAGAAGATGCCTGTGAGAATGGAAACAGCACAACCTCCCTGCGGAACGGGCAGCCATTCGGCCCGCGCAGCTTGAGGCATTGCATTTGCCGTGGAGTCATCATCATCATCATCATCATCATCATCGTCATGGCACGCGTTCGTTGGCCCAGGAACGGGTGGTTCCTCTGCCAGACGGTGCAAGCGAGGCGCTCTCTGAGAGCCAGTGCCGTATGCATACGTCATGTTCGGAACCCACATCTGTGCCCAGGTGAAAGGAGCTTTGCTCTCCAGGCCCGCAGTGGAAGAGCTCTTGTTGAGGTTGCTTCATGTTGCCCATCTTCATCTGTGGGTGTTGGTCCGTTTCGTCAATTTACATGTATCTATGAAAAACAGCGACATATCGTCATGAAACGAGACGCAGGGTCCCACGCTGAACCATGTTGGCCTAAAACTACCAGCAAGCCGACGTTTCAAGAAGTGCTTGGAATCTCCTGCAGCTTACCCCCTACCCAGACTCAAATGAATAGTCCTTGTGTGATTCACGGCATCTCAAGGCCTTATGCCGCTTATGCCTGTAACTTACAACGGCTGGTGGACATGCGGGATCCAGTGCCAAGGTCACTTCTCGATCTTTCCTTGCCGAGTTGAGTGCGCGGGCCTCAGTAAAATGCACAGCTTTCTCAGAGAGTGCTGCGGCTGGCTGCGTTGTGCCGTCGGCTCAGGCGGATGGCTTCGCTTTCGCCGCTTCCATGCTCTTGCAGCCCAAGTCTTGATGTGCTTGACTTGGACCTGGAAGTGGTCCAACTGAATCGTCATGGACTGCGAGTACCTGGACCTGAAGTGGTGGGGCATGGACTACTGACATGGACTGTGTGCACGTCAGATCGTTGCCCACATCTCTGAGCCGGAGTCTGCAGATAGATGTGCTCGAACTGCATCAGAATCAGCATGAGACCTTGTCGAGATGGTCCTCCTTCGCTTTCCGTTCCCTGTTTCACGCCTGTGTTCAGCTGTACGACGCCCTCTCATCAGGTGAAGACGCGACGCTAATACTCTTTTTCTAATAAAGCGTCAAAGATGGGCAGCCAAACAAGAGCGGATTTTCCCACCACGTCGAAGCCAAGCTGGGCTCAAAGAGTGTTCGCCTTCGCCTGGGCTTTTTAGAAGCAATGCTGCGGCCTCAGAAAAATCTAAATCTAATTACATGAAATCACGATTTCGAGATTCAAGACCTGCAAAGGCAAGCGTTAAGCGTCTTGGTAATTTGGTTAAAGTACCTTCTACTGCTGTTAGTGTGGCCAAGGCAGGCAGCGCGCCTGCTCGCGCGACGGTCTTTTCCGCGGCCGGCAGCCTTCAGTTTGGGGAATGCGAATCGCCGCCTGGCTGCTTCGTGATGCATCGCGCAGTCGCGCATGTCAGTTGTAGGAGAACTTTGTAGCTGGTCAGTGCGTGTTCCTGTCGCCAAGGGCTGCAATGGAACAGCTGCAGACGAAGCTGTGACACCTTTCGATTCAAAGCCACAGAGGCAGCCGAGGAGCGGGTAGTTTGCTACAGCGAATGTTCCAAGCAACGAGTGTAATCTGCAGGCAGGAGAAGCACGCTGGTCCTATGTAGCATTTGCCAAGTCTTTTCCCTTCACGCACCTTGGCAGTGAAGCCTCGTGACAAGACTACGGCCACACCGAAGCTCTCAGGAACAACTTGCTTATTGCTACGATGAAGACTTCAGCTGCCGATTTGGTGGCCCAATGTGTGATCGAGCAGAAGCCTTTGAATGAAGTTGATTGGAAACGCAATATGGCGGCTTGGCTTGCCAACAGCCCCCGTCCATGAGTAGCATGAACCTGAGATTCCCAGCCTCGAAATCTCATGTCACAGGCCTTCTAGATGTCAAAACCAAAACCTGCACTGTCTTGCCCACTCTAGCAAGACCCCTTGATGCAACCTGTCACGGTCCTGAGTCGACTAGGCACCAGACATCTCACTGTTTAAGGTCTTCTGCTTGTTCGGCGCTGTCTATTTAGGAGCCTTTCAGCCACTTGGACCAATTTGCTCGGACCGACCGAAGTGAGCGAAGAGAAAGAGGACACAAATTTGAAGTACATGCCGCATGCCTCTTCTTTACTATGAGGTTGCTTGCTGCAACTCGCTGACCGTTTGCTTAGCAGCGCCTGGCCGAGGTATTGGTATCAGGTCCGCAGCTAAGCATTGGCTCTTTCCGAGCGGTACCTTTCAGAGCTTGTGTAATCTCCAAAAAGGTCAATGTTTTCAAGCGGATGTTCACCGGAGTCGCTGCTCAGCTCAGTGAGTTTTTGTGAAGTACGGGGGGCCCCCGGGTTTTGTTCTCTATCTTTTGTCCGGTAAGGAGAAATTCACCGAACAGCCTTGGGCGGCAAAGATCCGTGACGGCCCGGGGCTTCTGGCGCTCGGTGCGCAGACCGCTCCGTCCTCGGCAGCTTGGGGCGCTGCTTTCGCTTTCAGCTTTCAGCCTCTGCTTTGCTTGCTTACGCTTCTCGAGGCTCTGGACCTGGGGATGCTGCGGGGGTCCTAGCGGAGTGGGCGTGGTGTCCTTCCTGCCCGCCTACCTGAGGACCTTCGTGTACTTGCCGACCTTCTACGTCTTCAAAGCTGGAGTCTTCAGCACCGCTTGGGATGCCAGCGAGTGGCTGAAGGGCGGCCTCGGAGACTTGGGCTTTGGCATTTACACAGAGACGGAGAGTCACAGAGAGTCTGCGGCAGTGCGGTGTCAAAGCCTGCGCGGCGCCGCAACCTGCGCCCGCTTCCGGCAACTCGCCTGAGGCAGCTACACCCGAAACTGGAACAAGGACCGCCGCAGCATGCAGCGAGCAACCTGCAGGGCCGCACCGCTCGCAGGATGTCTTCGACGTCTTCCGAGTTTGGGGCCCCGCAGATCTCGTTTGCTTCTCCGTGCCTCTGTGGCTGCGGCTCCCGGTGCGGCATGCCCGAGTCCTGGAAAAGAAGGGGGGGGCGAAGCAGAGCGCCTTCGCCGCCTTCCGACCCTCCCCATTCCCAGCGAGAGCAGACCGAGGTCGTCTCCTTTGTTTGGACGGCATACCTCTCCTTCGCCCGCGGTGCAAACAAGTGAGCGCTGCAAGCCGGAGGCGCCGGAGCCTTTTCCATTCCCAAAGCGAAAATGCTTTGAATTTTCCAACAAAGGGTAGACAACCGCCTACTTCAGCTAAATCCCCAGCCAGCTTCTGCCCGCAGCACGTTTGTGACTCTTTGGCATGCAGTCCCGACGACTGCTTGCAGAATTGGATTCTCCGACACGGTTGCCTCGACCAAGTGCGCAAGCTCCTCGCGCAGATATTGTCTTTAACATCTGCGATTGAAATAGTCCGTACGTCCAGGCAACCGGCAGTGCAACCGAACCAACAACACAGGCAGAGTTTCCTAAGTTACTGAGAAAACGGCGTTGAAAGACTGCTTCGGGCGCATCTCAAAGTTGCCGTTCCTGCTGCACCCACGCAAAAAGGCCTGCACATTCACACAATCAACGCCTCTGTCTAATGCTTAATGCGAGATCCAAGCGAAGCTCGTCAAGAAGCAAATGACTTCCCGTGGCGCTATCGGGTGTAGACAGTGCCAAGTTCTCCTTTTTTCGGTTGGTTTGTTGATAGAGCAGCTTCACGCGGGGGAGTTGCCGTTGAGCTTCCATCCGTGAGCCCACGACACCCTTGAGCCGTCTTCGCACAGTAATTAGGGAGATGTAAGCCAGATGGTTCATGAAGCGCAGCTGGCTCCAGAGGCAGCACAAGCTGATGTGACATGTCGCGTCCTTGGCATGTAGTCACCCGAATTGCATAGGTCCAATCATGGAGGAGTTGGAGGAGCAAGAGGCGGAAGGGATGGGCGGAAGGACGCAAGATGTAGCGTGTCTATGTATCACGGTGTTTTGAGGCCCAGCTTCTGCCCAAGAAGTATGCGGAGCATCAGGCAGTCAAGGAGCAGTTGGCAGGCTCTTGCTGGCTTGCAAATGAGAATCTTGAGCCCCGTCCCCGTCATATTGCCTGCTGCTCGTCAGCCCGAGAAGAGAAGCTGGCCGAAGGTGTTGCCGGCAAGCGCCAATTGGCTGTCAGCACGTTCTTTATTGCCATCAACCCTAGCCGGATGATTGCAGGTGCTGGGGCGATCTGCAAGCCTGGGACACGGGCTGGTCCGTTGATTTTTAATGTACGGGTTCGGAGTTGCTGTCAGGCTATACTGCATCCCCCGAAATGCAGAGCAGTGTGTCGAAATCCAGGCAGGGACTGGCTATGCGACCACGGTGCTGCCGGCGGGCTTTAAGCAGGAATGAACGCCAGATTCCCAGGTGCGAGAAGGAAGCCGTCAAGTGCGCTGGGGCTGGGTTGGGCCCAATTTCGGCAAGGCAGGGATCTCATGTCCACACCTGATATCGTGGCCACCTTGTCAGTCAGTGCCTGGACAGGTGGGCTGCAAGTACATCAGCATATGTAGGTCGCTGGTGACACCTGGCGAGTTCTTCTGCGCCTTTGCCTGAGATGCTTGAAGAGCGTGGGAGCTGCCAGCACAAAGACTGTGAAAAGTTGACTGTGTCTGTCACTGTCACTCTTGCACAGGCGGTGTGTATTCGGTAGGTTGCACTGGTTGCACATTGCCAGGTCCCCTATGATGCTGCACATGTGCTGCTCGTGAACATTGACGAAGACACAATCACTGAGGCGGTCCTGCTGAGCAGCAGCAGCAGCAGACGTCTGTTACAGAGCTGACTTCGAAGATTCATGTTCACACGGGAGAGACGAGACAGAGGCAGTATAAGCATAAGCCAGTCAAAGGCACATGACAGCCGCACGCGGAGCATTTTCTTTTTGCAGGTGGGTGAGAAAGTAAGTCCGGATTTGGTGACCAAGTATGCAACAGCTGCGCAGCCCTTACGGGCGTTCGATGTGTGGGAAAAACCACAAGTAAGTCAAGCAAGTGCCTGAGGCCAGCTCTTATGACTGGAACGGCCGAATCTACGCAGCACCTTTTCTTGCCCAGAGGGTGCAATCCTGAGCTTGTAGCTTCGCTGGTCACCCGATGCCTTTCAGGCAGACGTGTGCCCTTAGGTTCTCCAGATTGATCCTTACACAGGCCGAAAGACGATACGTTCTTGTGCTAACTGCAGGCCTCGCACATGCTCACATCAAGTGATTTCGTGCCTGGGCGAGGTACTGTCGGCGAAGTCGGCCCACGCCTTGTAAAATCTGAGCAGGCAGCTGTTGCATCCAGAGGAAAGAACATGCTAACGCTATGCCTTGCTGCTCGCCACGTACACAGAGGGCGAGTGGTGGGTAACGATTGCTTCCCCCATCGTCGCCGGCTCAGCTCGCGAGTGTGAGGAGCTACGTGAGTTGATGCAGCTGAATGCTGAGACTCTCAAGATCTACGCAATCCCGTGGGATGCCCGTCATGCCAACTCCTCGGGGAGTGGTGCTGCACTTCAGGGGTTTGCAGACAAGTTGCCTTGAATCGTCCCTAGGTGATGGAGATCGATCCTGTCCGTGGTGGTGCAACTCGCAAGGCAGCGGCATTCAGGATTCTGAGTTGGAGCAAGGCGATGTCACGGCACAAGCAGCGACAGCCTGGGCTTCTTCCCCGAGGACAGCAGCAGAGCAGGAAAGGTTTACAGGGAGATGGGCCTGCAGCTGGCAGCCACCTATAGTCTGTGTTCACACATGTCCCTGCCAGTGTGCAAGGATGCGTGGATGGGTGCGAGCATGGGTGGGTGGTGTCTATATAAAGTACACAAAGGCTACCTCCTACTTCCTCCAGATAGCGCCGATAGCGGGGTGGGGGGGGTGCTCGAGGAGTACCCCCCCCCCTCGAAGAGCCCTCCTTCGCCCCCCCCCCCCGCTCGAGGCGCACCTTTTCTTTGACTCGTCCCGGTGGTAGTAGTGAGAAACAGAAACTTGAATAGGTTTTCTAGGCCACTACGATGTGGAGTACGTCTTCACTGTTTTGCACGTGTAGTGCCGCCGTTGGAGCTTTTGATATAATTGTCTGGATTGCCTCGTTTGTCAAGCCGAGTTGCAATGTGGCTTGTTTGTAAGAGATTGAAGCTATTGGTGCAAAAGACTTTAGAGTCTTCCAACGGTGCCTATCATTTATTTGGGTATGGACATTGCTGGCATAAGCAACTGCACAGTTTCGATGATGAAATTCCACGTTTTGTCGGGTTTCGGTTGCCAGATGGACACGCTGCATGTGACGCAACCTCAAAATTATATCAAAAGCTCCAACGGCGGCACGAAACGTGCAAAACAGTGAAGACGTACTCCACATCGTAGTGGCCTAGAAAACCTATTCAAGTTTCTATTTCTCACTACTAGGACCGGGACGAGTCAAAGAAAAGGTGCGCCTGGGGGGGGGGGGTGTTAAGCAGGAGGGGGGGAGGGGGGGGGGGCTGCTTCTTGGGAGGGGGGCGGAGGGTCTCTTCGAGGGGGCGGGGGGGAGGGGTGGGGAGGCTGTTTCACCCCCG